ATCGCAATGTTGGGTAAAATAGAATATTTCCATCGAATATTTTCAACGAATTTTTGAGTATTGTGTATTTTTATTAAATTTTTATTAAATATACAACGGGCATTCATAACGCTAGGCATTCAAATGTTTGTGAGCTACATTTCCGCCCGTCCTCTTTTTTTAAAAGGACCAATACTTACGCAACGGCGAGCGTCAAAGTTTGGTTTTAAATTGCTGGGGAAACTATGCATTCATATCGACGACATATGTTAAAGACAGCTATTAAGAAGTGGATTCGGTATTTTATTCTGAATTTTATCTTTTGCTTCGGCATTGATCTTTTTAGTCACCGTTTGCAAATTACCTGTCCCAATTTAAGTATACAAGGTTATAAATCCCGACACCGGAATGCGGATATTTATGAAGAAGATATACCTTCTTATGATTTTATTTTTCAATTGTGCCTTTTTATTTTCGTATTAAATAATAATAAATAAAAACCCTTTAAAGTCATTGCGTGAATCCTGAATGTTATTTTGAGTTCAAATGATCATTTAATAAATCGGCAATAATGGCAATTCTACTAGTAAACTAATAATTTGTTACGTTGTTTTGAATTTCTAATTTTACGAAACGGCGTTGGTGCGCTTCATGTAAAACTAAGAATTGAAACAAAACCAAAATACGACTCCTCAATTTTTGTCGTTTCTGTTTCTTAGCAAGAGCCGCGAGGTAATTTTTGCGGAATTAAAGGGATCGGTTTAGTGACGGCCTAGGAACTCGATATATGAGTAGTAAAATGACATTCTAATATTTAAGAGAATGACATCGAAAGGTTATTGTTACGCAAGGATACACGGCGCGGCGTTTTTTAATTGGCCATCTGGCGAACTTGGAATTCGAATTCCTACATATTTTTCATGGACTTCATGAAGTATGCGCACCAAGATGGCGCTCAACCTGAACTCAAGTTGTGTATCAGGTTAGGGTTCAGCTAGTGCGACATCTTGGTGCGCATACTTTAGGAGTCCCTTTTTCATCTTGTATTAGTGTAAGAGGTTTTGCGTTAGGATCATAATATTTCATTTTCTTTTCTTGTCTATTCTTCTTCTTTTCATCAATATTTGTTTGAATGTTGCAGATGAGCTATGTTTGCAACATTGGTAGACGAGTTCTGGTTCTGCGGTTAAACATTAATTGAACTGGAGAAGCATTGATATCTGCAAGAGCTGTATCTCTACATTCCAATAAAACAAAGTTTGGGTCTGAATCTAATCTATCCAATTTGCATTTCTCGACAAGGTTTTGGCAATTTTCATTGTGGATTCTGCTCTTTCGTTGCACTGCTGGTGGAATGGCGAAGAAGTTGCAAGTTAAAAATCTCATTTGTTTGCAAACTCTCCGAATTGAGAGGATTTGAACTGACCTGCCGAGTCTGACTTAACCATCAGAGGAATTCCATGTTGACATAAATGTTTTTCACAAATGCCAATTAATGTGTCCTCCATGTAAACCGTTTAAGAGTTTCTTTTTGCATTAAAGTGGAAATTACCAAGCTTTCTGACCTAAATATCAATTTTCGTATAGTGCATATTTCATTATTCGCAGATTTATGTTCTGGTGGTAGTTTATTTTTCTTTATGTACTTTGTGAGAACTGAAGCGTTTGCAGTATTTTTGGCAAGTTTTTGGAATGTCTGTGGTATGACCGCCATCTCACCTTTTAGTTTTGTGTTTTTTCAATTTTCACACCTGAGACGCTGCAATCTTGTGTTTGTTGGAACAATCGACTGAGCAGGTCGGCGATCCACTTATCTTTATCTGGTTTGTAGCGCACTTTGAAATTATATTTTTACAAACGAAGTCTCATTCTTTGAAGATGACGTGGAACATCTGAAATGGCTTTTGGAAATATTTCTTGCAGTGGCTTATGATCAGATTCCACAATCACTTCGGGTTCACCAAATATATAATACTCGTAGGTAAATTTTTACATACATGGACTACAGCATTCATTTTATTTTAAATTTGTCCATATCGCTTCTCAGTTTGTTTCGGTTTGTTTCAAGCTTCTACTATTTAATGCATGGGCGTGGTCATTTTAAATAATTCTGCACCCAATCCGAATTGTTAAGCATCGAATTGAATTGTGTCTGGTTTTGACACAGCAAAGTAGGCCAGAGCTGAAGTCTCAGTAACTACGTATTTGCTGTTATATTCTTCCTCTGTGCTTTCCGTGATATGCCATTAGCAATAACAAAGACTTCTTCGATATCCTCAAGTATTTGGTTGGTTGGAAGATTTCAGAAGATGACCTTAAACTAGGGGTCGGCAACCTACCGCCCGCGGAATAAAATAATCCGCCCGAGCCGCTTCACTGAATTATAGTAACAAAACGGCTGTTTTGACGAATATATTCTTTACGTAACAGAACTTATTGTGAGACACGTGTAGACTAAATTCTATTATGACCTTATAACAAGTATATAATTCGCAATTACTCGTTTAATGAGCCTATAATTTAAATATGATTATTAGACAAATGGCAACAAAACGCAGAAAAGTTGATGCCATGTGTAAAAGGTTCAAGGGCGCAGAAAATATTCAAGGAAATAAATCTATATTCTATTCGAGAGATGAATCACTGCTTGATTTTTATAAAAAAATATATCTTCTTGAATAAAAACTCTATCTAAATTTTTATCTATTCAAAATTCACAACGATGTTTGGACGTACATAAATATGCGTGCGAAAATTATTTGCCAAGATGAACATTACGAAGAACAAGCTGAGAACTGGGATTAGGGATTTTCATTTAGAAAACGTTTCAATCTCTTGACATCATTCAGTGTGCCGCCTGATGTCAAAAACGTATCAAGTGTGATGCAACAAAAAGTTTCACATTAAATGTCATTTGTAATTTTATTTTTTAAGTAAGACGACTGAGTTGAGTTCACGAGTTGTCGCAGTCTTCTTGCGCTGCTTGAAATTTCAACTTGTGATATGTGTAAAATAATTGTGATTCATCGGCCATCCGTTCGGTTTTTAACTTTCTGGAAATATGTGCGGCCCGCTAAGACACCCCTAGTTTTGGCCCGCGGGCGACAAAAGGTTGCCGACCCCTGCTTTGAACCTAAGGGAATTCTCAGAATTCTGTATCTTTGAGAAGGTGTGCTGAATGTTGCGCGAAAAGATGATTCTTCACGCAAGTGAATCTGGTGGTAACCATGTTTAGCATCTACCTTCGTGAAATATCTAGCATCATTTAGACTGAAATCCGTCTAACATCTACGGAGAAGACCCGGCCAATGTCTGGGCAAGTTTCTTCATCCAACAGTGGTGGTAAATAGATAGTTGAATCTAACTTGTATTATGGACAGGGGCGCAGCCATGCAGGCTTTTTTAACGGGGGGAGGGGGGTTAGCAATGGGGGGTACGGTAAAATTAAAACAGTGCGTCAAAAGTGCAATTCACGACGCCGTACATTTATGAATGTACATATATCGCCGGATGAGAACAGAACAGGCCTAAGTAACAATTTTGAGTTTTGAGAAAAACGCAAAAAAATAATTTGAATTTCTAAGTATTCACCATTAGTAAAGACCTGAGTTTTGGTTATTTTAATGTGGTTGAGAATATCTTTCAGATCAATATATTTTGGAAATTCCTTTCTGATTTTTTTATCCCGCATTTAAAAATGAAACGATGGAAATAATGAAAATGAATTTTGGATTAAAAGTACAAAAAACCAATTTTGAATTTTTATATTTTTTAATTTCTAGATATTCACACTTAGTAAAGACCTGAGCTTTGGCTATTTTCATGTGGTTGAGAATATATTCGTAATCAATATATTTTGACACTTGTTTTCTGTTTTTTTTTTCACATTATGACGTTATTTGATAAATTCAAAGGTTGTATGGTAGCAAGAGAGTGGGAGAGACAATTTCGTCAGGTGCAATGTCAAATCATGATTATACAGTTTATTTTTGAAAATCATGATCATTCTTGGATTTGATTTGACCCATTTTCTACCAAATATAACGTTAAAAATGAAAGAATCAACAGTTCTAAGTCAAAATTGCCAGATGACTCGCGCTAACTATATTTATAGTTCTAGTACATTTACGGGGGTAACCAGTCGTCGCGATTACGCCATTCGTTAAAATTGCCGACTTTTTCAGCGATGATGATTTTTCTGTAGCGCAAAATATTCAATCCATAGTTGATACGTGCATTAAAATTGTCTCGCCATATCAATTCAATTTCGCCTGCGCCGAGTTACAATAAATGAAAGTATTACTATTCTGAAATACCACATCTGCGTGCGTAAAAATACGCGGTATACTGCCTGATTATAATGAAAATTGATTTGAATTTTTGCGATTTTGGTTTAAAATATCACCGTTTGCAAAATCCCAATGTCAGCCTTAAATCATATGAGTACAATGTGTTACAATAAAGTAAAAGCATTACAATTCTAAACTGATGCGATAATCTGGCTCCACACAAACAAAATGTTTGGGAACTGCTGTACTCTACTCAGCTATAGTTTCCGATCGAAAATTCCGAGGTAATATAGTTTACCGACATAATTCCGATGTTTCCGGCAAACAATCGGCGATTTCAACTTTATATTCCTCCCCGAGAATGCGCAATTGCCTCTGTCGCCCGTGTTTTATCTCTTTTGGTCCCACTTTGAGAATTGCTGTACTTGAACTAGACAAAAGAAAAGAACAAATGTTGGGGCATTCACGAACGCACGAAAAAATTTGCAGGGTCAAATGCTGATATAGCTAGAGTTTTTGAATGCCATAAATAATTCGGATTGATGTTTTTGCATATTATATTCAGGTGCTTATAAAATGTGAGGAATTACGGTATTCACTTTAGCCGACGATCCATTATCGATATTTTCAATGGAATTCCTATTTATGTCATCGATATTTTCAATGGAAATTTATATTCATGAAAACTATAGTCATAATTTCGGCAGGCACAAGTGGGTCGGACGGTCGGCCGAAACACTCAGGGGGGCCGGATTCGACCCGCGGGCTATAATTTGCCCAACTCTGGAATAGATTATGTAATTTCATTCCACTGGTTCCTGTTTGTATACAATGCTATGTTATCCGTCGCCAAGTGGCGTACTAGGGCCATAATATTACTATGACCGTACATTTAATGCGTGAAAATCATTTCTGGACCACGCTTGCCAGAGCATAGTATGTGGATCGGATGCTTTGCAGACGTTGCGTAATTGCAGACTGAGGTGTACTCCGTTTTTGCGTGACAATTTTGTTGTTTAGGATTTGGCCGCTCATTAGGTGAAAAAGGGAGGATTCATGACTTTTAAATATTGAATTCATGTGCGTGAATAGGCACATAGTCTAGTTTAAATATTGGGTGATTTACAGTGCGGAGGATTGCAATCAGTTCAAACATCAATGAATATGCAGAAAGTTAATCCTCATCTGATTCCTATTAAGGGGTTATACTTTTTGTATTATGCAGGTAAGTTGGTTTAAGTTTTGTTGGTCATCTACTCATAATATCTCTGTGAACGAGGATTTGTAATGTACAATTTCTGAATGCATCTTATGGCAATGCAAACTTGTAAAAATTCATTTGCAAACAAAAAAAAACTCTGGCAATGCTGGATTGAAGCGATCAGGGAAAAATGAAATTAGGCATTAGGTGATTTCACTTAGCCTAAAATTTGAGTGTGTGCACTTGTGCTGCTTATTTTTGCAGTGCCTTTGTACAGTTGTAGGAAATTAGAAAGGATAAAATGTATACCAAACTGATAAGTCATATATTTTGCAATTTCTTCTATCACAAGTACCAATTGTTTTACAGGTTTATCCAGCTTCATTCCATACAAGTCAATATATCAGAAACAGCTTGGAATGTCATCTGGCCAAAATGGCTTTATACAAGCAACAATGCAACTCGTTTCTTTGTTTTCTCCCCCAATCGCTGGTTTTATTACGGACAAAACAAAGGCATATAAAGTGATGATGACTGTCTGCATGTTTTTCTCAATCGCCTTCACCATTCCATTTTATTTCGTGCCACCAATAGAGCGTGAGGTATTATCAACAAAGATCCTGTGCTGTGAAGAAGAAGTTAATAGTCTTCTCCACTGTTTGCCAATTGACAATGCATCCAATGTTGAAAGTTGCTTAAATGATGTAAATGCACCATTTGATGTTAACTTTACACATCAGCCAGATTGTCTTAGTCCAAATGTCACTTTAAACTGCAAATATAGTGATTCTACCGATGTATATGGATCAACATTTGCAATATTAATTGCGTTAACAATGCTAATGTCTTTCTTCCTAGCACCAGTTACACCACTAGTTGATTCTTCTGCAATGGACACTCTTGGTATCGAAAATGTAAAATATTTTGGAATTCAACGACTTTGGGGTGCTGTTGGGTTTGGCATTGTTGGACTAGCCGTCAGTTATTTCACAGATGTTATAAGCCCTGTGGAAGTTTATGGACTCGAAGCGAAGAACTATATTCTTGCTGTTGTAAGTGCAGGATTATTCTGGGGGGCAACCATTGTTCTTATCATTACATCTATCAAAATCACTGCCCCAAAAGCAAAAGCTGTTCTTCGTGGTGTTGGGAAACTCCTTATTAAACCACAAGTCCTGGCTTTTATATTCGTTGTTCTTGTGAGTGGTTTCTGCACCGGCGTCCAGTATTCATACCTATTTTGGTACATGACAGAGCTCAATGGATTCAAACAATATATTCTTGGTCTCTCTCTAATTGTAACTTGTGCTTCAGAGATTCCAATGTTTTGGTTTTCTGGATGGATATGTCAGAAGTTTGGATATGTATCTGTTCTAGCACTTGGCCTCATTGCTGCTAGTGTAAGTATACATTTCCCTTCAAAAAAAACTTTTGTGTTTATGCTAAAGCATGCTTTCATACAGAAATTATTGTTTTGTTTGTAACATAGCTATTGGATATTAAAATTTGAATTCGATCATATAGGAATTCTAAATCTTTTAAAATGGTAAACTTCAGAAAATCTTCGGCAAGACAGAGATCAGGCGTTAGACATTATTAAGACATGATCCTTACTCTTTTTCTTTTATGCAATTTCTTTTCCAGATTCGGTTTTTCACTTACACATTCATTACTGATGCATGGCAAGTTTTGTTAGTGGAAGGTCTTCATGGCATCTCATTTGCTTTACCAAATGCTGCAATATGTTCATATGCTGCTGTCATAGCTCCAAAAGATGCAACTGCAACTCTCATTTCTATAAGCCAAACTGCTTATTGGGGCTTGGGTATGTTACAGATACAAACTTATTTTATCCCTCCTTTCACCATTTGTCACGACAATTCTGAATGTTTTTAAAGGATAAAAATCAGTTACCGTATTTTCCCGAAATTACGCCTATATCGCGAACAGGCCGACTCCCTAAAAACGGCCTTGAAACGGCGATTTTTAAAAAAATCGCACATAAGCCGGTCCTACGAATCGTTACACGGCGGACGCCTCAAGAAAAACGTAAAAGGGGACAAAATTACTGTAACGCAAACATTTCTCACGTTTATCGTTTCTGCATGTTAGCGAAGGCCGTAGGTGGATTATTACCCGTAACTCTTACTTGTTAATTTATGTTAATAAAGTCTATATTGCTTTTCAATGCGTCGGGAGTTTTCCTGAATCAGCATAAAACAATTTCCTTTGAGAGCCACAACGGCGATTAATTTCGTTCCTTGTCTGTTCCAAGGAAAGAAATAACGCTGTATTAACACATTCTTATAAATCGCTACGAATCTTAACACCCCAGACGCCTTAAGAAAGGCGCAGAAAGAAAACAAAATTGCTGTAACACAAATATTTCTCACGTTTATCATTTCTGTTTGTTAGCGACGACCGTAGATTCTTACTCGTAACTCTTACTTGTAAATTCATATTAATAAAGTCTATATTGCTTTTCATACGTCGTGATTTGTATTAATGGAAGAGATTGTTGTCGGGAGTTTAAGAGAGTCCCTGAGTCAGCATAAAACAATTTCCTTTGATCGTCCACAACGCGGTTAACTTCGATAAGAGTCCTTATCACCGCCACTTAACAGATAACATATCATAAAGGTGATTAAAAGTCGCGCGTCGTTAATTGCCACTTTTGCTGTTATGTAAAAGAAATACAAGCGAAAACAAACCAATCACAGACTGTACAAGCGTCACGTGTTGAACAACCAATCACAGACTGTACAAGCCATCAGCTGTATGATAAGACAATCCACCTTCACAAGCTGTTGTGTGTGTGTGTGTGCACGCTTTTTATCGTGAGAACTTGGTATGGTTTGAAGCTTTTGGAATTACCGGCAAGTTAGCATAATATCATCTCGTTGCATGATCAATTCTGATGCGCGAATGAGCCGATTTTTTTGTGCAATCTGAGTTGTGCGCGAATAAGACGGTCCCTTAGTTTGGCAACTTTTTTTTTGAGTTTTAAACTCGGCCTATTCGCGATCATATACGGTAAATACCATTGCATTGTATCTTAATAAATCCATTCCCTGTTACTTATAAGTTCACAACACTGCCAATGCGTAACATCGATATTGTTCCTAAAACAATTGTTTAGAACCGACACAGTTTCAAGGAATTGCTTCTATAAATGATTTGTTTGATTAATTTGGATTAGCATTTTTCCAATAGTCAAATGATCAATATGATGACAGGTATACTTTTCAACGCTTTACTTTCCTCATTTCGTTTTCTCTAGGCAACATGCTTGGAGCACTACTTGGTGGAATATTGTATGAAGCTTTTGGTGGGGTCAAGATGTTTCGCATAGTTGGGGCAATTAGTGTAATCACTGCAGTTCTTTATGAAATTATATTTGGACATTTGAACCTGATATCGTACTGTTACTGCTGTAAAGACGAATCAAAGAAAGAAATAGAAGCTGAAAAACGTGGGTGTCATTTATTGTCATCACTGCAAATTATTTTGTCGACCTGAATTATTTGAAGTCCCATGGTACTGGTATTCACAGTACAGACCTCTTAAAGTCTTATTCATCAGTGTTTGCTTACTACATTTCAGTTAGTTATTTTTTAACTTATTATTGGGTAAATGCAGACTGCACATACTCACATGCAAATACTAATTTCAGGTGATTCTAAAACGAAAATAGTCAAGACACCAGAGGAAGAACAACCACTGCATGAACAAGAGAATGGAGTTGTGTAGAGGAACTTAACAAATCTCTCATTTAATTCCCTCTGTCAACATCGCATTGTTGTTATTCTACTATAGCTCTGTTTCACAACACAACAAGAAGTACACTACAATGCATTTTATCTGGGTTGGTATCAATAAATGATAACATGGGCATGAGGAAAATTCTTATTCAAATAGTCTGCTACATCAAAATTCAGTTTATTGAAAATAGACATGTATAGAATTGAGATTCATTGTAACTTGCCTATTTTTACCAATTTGATAATGAATATTTGAGTCTTATCACTCATTTAAAAAATACATTGAAATTTATATAGCTTATAAAAACTGTAGTATATACTGAACATCATTTATTTTTTTTGGTAAATTGGTAAACAGCTTTTCACTTCAACCTATTCTTATTTAGGTAGTTAGCGAAGGTGCTGGGCACTGTTGTGCATTGGTATCTATATCAGCTGGTAAAATGGAGATTTCAAATTGAAGTTATATAATATTCCTGCCCCTTTCTAAAATTTTTTGACCCTCCAAAAAACGGTACATTTTATTTTCATACTTTAGGTAAATACTAAGTTTGAAGCTAAGTTTTGAAAATTATGTCAGTATTGCACTTTCTTTTATATTCTAATATAATAACACTGTATATTGCTAAATATTATCTAGATCAAATTATCTTGCCTCTGGCTTCTATTCGGTGGATAGTAGTTCATAGTAGTTCAAAAAGTCTGTTTATAGGTATTTCATGCAATGATTATGTGGGAAGCCAAAACTTATCACTTTAACTTGTTATATAATAAAAATCTGATTATGGTGCATATTTATAAACAGCACATAAAATTAGGCTCAGTCAATGATGATTGTGCCATCATTTTTTTTAGTGAGCCTTATATATGTAACTGATACATGGTTGTATAACTTTGCAATTTTTTGTGATAAATTCATGGCAAAACGGGTATTCTGATATAATAAAATAAGGAAGCAATAATTGCGACAGATGGAAATCAAAATTTTCATTGGATGTTTGTATTGTTAAATTTGATTTTGATGAAAGGACTGGACTATTTCCAATTCATACATTTCCTCATAATTTGTACCTCTCTATGTATTTGAGTATAACACTTGATCAAAAAAAAATAAAAAATTTCCATAAGACGATTGAATTGCTTAAATATCAAGAAGTTACCATTGTTTTGACCTGATTAATCGAATACTGATTATGATCTATGTCTGGAACTGCATGTTTAATTTTATTTATAACTCAAATGATGCATTATTAGATAAGAGCATAAACCATTCCTAAAATTTACAGTATGAAACTAACCTTAATTTGAATTAGTTTTGGTTATGACAATTCTTTTGTTCATAGTATCTCTTTACATTGTGTTGATTTTGTCTTTTGGATCTTTCATTGTTTTGCACATTCTATATTTATCAGTGATAATAATTATTGCAATGTGTTGCTATAATTTTTATATGCAGTTCAACATTCACATATAATATTTGTAAAATACTAGCTACTAATTTACCTATATTAATAATTTTAATGCAAAATTTCTATACTCGTTAGAAGACTAAATGCATTGATACAGTTGTACATATGCAAACATTTGTGCCAAGTCAATATTTACTAGTTGTAATAGTGACCAAGTTAAATATTATTGCCAAGTTAATTTGTAATATAATGCTGATGTATGTTAAGTTAACATCCAACATTTTCAATGTGGTTTTAAAATGATTTAACCTGACCGATAAAGTATCTTTATAGTTTTTATTACATAGGGATATATGATCAATCTTTTCAATGTTATGTACTTCCTTTACCAATTGGTTTCATGTTTCAGAATTATCTTCCCGTCTGCTGCTTTAAGTGATATCAGTCTGTAGATAGACATTGCAATATGTTAATATAGGTTAACTGCTATGCTGATGTCACAATTGAATATATAAAAAAATGCCTGTGGAATATTTTGAATCGAATTGGAAGGCAATTTATAGTGTAATTTTTTAATATGGTATCGTGTATTACTATTTAATTATCTCAGCATATTAGTGTTGGTGGGGTTTATGACAAACAAATCTGATGCTTGCTTCATATTGTATTTCATCAAATCTTCATGCCACCTCAGATTGCCTGTAAACAATTGTTTTATGTTAAGGTTTTTTGCAATAAGACTTGCTTCTGGTATTAAAGTGGCTGCTTGTTATTATGAAAATTAGGTAATCTCTCATTTAGATATATAGTAATATCTCTATATTTTAGACACTAGTACCATATATGCAGTGATATTAGGCTTTTAGGTACTTTTTTTACATGCAGTATTTTGAATCATAATATATATGGTACGTTTTATCATGAATGTCTAGTATAAATTGCTTCAAAACAAAATATGCTCTTTCACGACCAAATATAGTATTTGATTAGGAATTTATTGATTACATTTCGTTGTTAATTTGCCATAAATCTCATACTAACCATAAATAACTTTAATCTTTTTGATTACTCGGACATCTCACCTTATTGTGAATATGCATTTAATCGATAGCAACCAATTCAGCTTTCATTACTCTCAAGTGGAAATAGTCAAGTAAAATTGTATGGGCCAAACTTACTAATTTTTGGATACTTTCAAATGTGTGCCTTGTTTGTATTTTCTGTGTCAATAAATGTGCCTTCAATTAAATAGCCTATGTGATTTCATGAACAGTTGGGACTTGCATAGCAAACACTATAAGTCGGGGAATACTTATCAATTCTAATTTGTGGGAATAATGCCTACTTTTAAATAAATATACTTGGCGAGAGAGGTTGCAAAATCTTGGGCCCTTCACAGTATATAAGATAGATGTGGAGGTTTCTTTATGTTTTTGTTTGTATCGATTTTTAGTCTGATTTAAATTGATTTGTATGACACAGACATGTGATGTAATTCACAGCATCTAAGATGTATCTCTCATCCCAAAACATATTATCTGGTTTATTAACCTCCTTTTTATTTAAAAAAAATATATATTTTATCAATATGGTGCTCTCTGCACATATTACCAAAAATAAGTTAAATACAAAATTAAAATAACGTGCAATCTTAAATAAAGACCATTCAGATTTATAAGCATTCCGCTAGAATCGACTATGCAAAAACTTGAAAAATGCTTCCCTGCCTGTGGGATGCCACAATAGTCCTATGTTAACAATAATAATCCATTGTCATCACACACAACTTCATTTTTATGCGTTTCGAAATTTTTAGGATAAAATGTGAGTTAACAGACAAAAAGTGACTTGAACAATTTGGTTGGAGCGTGACGATTTACGGTGCTCTGACAATAAATGAGCTTCGGTATCGCCCACCTTATCGCACGAAAATTTGCATAATTTCTAGAAAAAGCAGCTTGCAATTTATTCAGTCCGTTATTTGCGTAAATATACTTGAGTGATTAGTTAGGGTTAGCGAAATACGCATAACAAGAATGTCAGCGAATGTACATTAAACTGTATTTCATCAGCGGCACGCGAGGACGTTAGGGTCTGTTTCGCACAAATTAAATCGCTGATCAAACGTTCCCCGCGGCGTGCTATATCCCTTCGCACGACACAAAATTTGACATTCTCACCAAGAATTATGTGCAATCGTGCGACGTTTTCCCTTGCGTGCGAGAGATATTAGAGGGTGATTTTTTCGTCGAATCGACGACCTCTGTGCGGTCAAAATAATTTGAGCAAAAGATAATCAAAGTACGTATATACTATCTTGTGTGGTCCACGGTATAACGGTTCCCGCCACATGATCCAGTTAAGCACGACGTCAGTCGACGGGTTGGATAAGCGTTTCTCTTCTGAACAATTACAGACAAATTTTGGGTCGAAACAAGAAAAACAGGCTTTAATACTTTTTGAGTTTGAGTAAAATTAGGCATCTCACCCTCGCGTGCAAGCCAAACCGGATATCGTCACGCAAACAGCTAATCATTTTATCTTATTGTCAGATAGATCGCACGACTGGAAATAGAAAAACTGTAGGATTATTCACAATCATCTGTCGTGTTCGGATATCAGGTTCCTTCTTTGTAAGTTGAAAAATATTTTGTAAAATAATATTTTCTTGTTCCAATTCACTCTGATATCAATTCTTGATTAATGGCTGAGATAGATTCTTATTCCGAGAAAAGTAAAAAAAATTCTTAGATAGACAACATTTGTATTGTTATGAAACTGCTTCCGCCTATTCCACTTAAAGATTGATATATAATACTCATCAAATACTACATTTTCAAATGCCATTCTAAATACCCGCAGTCGACCCTTTGCTTTTTTTGGTCGTTGTGGATAATTTTCATGATTTATAGATTCTAAAAAAATGAGGAAATTTATGGACAACGGCCCCAAAAAGCACAGGACAGCCAAATTTATGAAGTTATATATGATGCATTTTATCAATATGTTGATGCACATTATGACATAATAATAGATTATTATGCCACAATACATTATTATGACATCGTTCTTGAAGAGAGACTTAAGATAGGGGTCTCTTGTCGCCTAAATCCGTCTCTGGTTATACTATATTTAGGAAAACTCTGTTTCGGCGTGTATTTCGAATATATCACAATCTTGGCGGGATTGCGAGAAAGATGCGCGATGCCATCGCAAATGAAAATGTTAATAGTAGTGATCAACGCTGTGGAGCAGCTCGTCTGGTCAAAATCATATTTAGATTATGTTGTCGAATATATTCACTTAATGATGTAACTTCATCTATCAATTAAAAATGAAGGCGCAGTTGCGCACTGTGTGAAAGTTTATCGACATATGAGGCTTAATTACAGTTGAAAATAACTACCGTGTTTCCCCGAAAATAAGACCTAGCATGAATAGTAAAAATGAATTTATAAGCCCACCCCCTAAAATAAGACCTAGTCAATAAAGCGAGATTTTTTTGACCTAGTTCATAGCAAGAAATCTCTCCTACACGTTTTAAATAATGTTTTGTAGTTGCTTGGAATAAAAACGTGTTATTTATAAGTAAATGGATAGGCCTATCGGTTTTCATATTTTGTATATTTAAAAATCTCGTTATTCTCTACTTTTTAATTCTGTTTTTGATAAATAAAAATATAAGACATTTCCCGAAAAAAAGGCCTAGTGTTAATTTTCGGAGGAAAATGTGTTCGGAAGAACTGTGTGTTTTGACCGCTTTTATAGACGGAGAATAAAATGACCCCCACTAGTGTACTGAAACGTAAGACTATAGAACAATACAGTGTAACATTACTAGTGTCGAAGTCCCTGACCTCGATATGCGGGTCAATTCGAGTGTAAATAAAATTATTCGACTCGAAGAACTTTTCAAACGAAAAACGACTTTAAACGAAGATATTTGTACTTTTATTCTGAATTCAGTCACGGTTTGATTTACATTTTCCAATCGTTGAATTTGAAAACCAAACTAGTATTTCATAAAAATTTGGGCAATTTCTACAAGCTATAGTAAACTTTCAATAGTACGTTGAGCCACAATGACATACCGTAGCTAATCTCGAAAATTTGTTGCCATTTCCAGGAATCTCCCAAGATCATTTTATAGTGTTAAATAATGTCTCTCTGGTGATTTGTCGAGTTCGAGTCGAGTCATTTGTCTAGACCAGCGTTTCCCAAACCGTGTTCCCCGCGAGCGTCTTCCGAGTGTTCCACGGAAAATGAATCAAAAATACTTCTAAATTGGTCGCCATGGCGATCTAGGGATCGTGAAGTTGTCGGATTAACTAAGGTAGGATAGTGGTATTTTCGTTAACCGTCGGTCCATCTTTTTGACTGTTAAGTTCATTATCAAGTTTACAGCAATCCTTTCAGTTTTTCTATAGGCAAAAAGTAGGTCTTAAGAATAAAGGTAAAAGGTCAACTCTTCTTCCTCCATCTCTGCTTGGTTTTACTTTGAAATGCTGAAAAAATTACTCATGTTCGCTAAAGTCGATTCAGCAGATAAATAAACTGTAGGTCTGTAGCTCGCAAAATTGCAGCAAGTGATTTTATCTCTATTGGACGTAATATTAGAGGCAAACTCTATACGTAATGCGTTTAATTCGTGTCATTTCTACTGCGATAGGCAGGTCCAATTAAGTACATATGTTTAATCGTAGTAGTATATATTTACGGTTTAATAGAGAATAAGACAGATCATTCACAGCATCAACTTCTAAACTCCAGTGGTGGCATTATCGTTGACTTCACAGCCAATGTTACGACATAAATACGTGTCTAAACAATAATAAATTCAGGATCAAATTTTGTTTGATTCATAAAAAGTGAGGTCGTTTTAGAGCCACAAAAAATTAAATCTCGTTCCGCATTTGGCCCGCTGGCCGCAGTTTGTCGACACTTTTCTAAAGGAAAAACATTGACAAAAATGAACATTAGCGAATGACAATAACGTCAACATAAAAGTAAATGGATAAAAAGTAGGATACTCCTAATAATTGGTCCAGTAGTTGAGAAAAAAGCGATTTTTTCATAACAATGAGAACAAAAATTCCAACAACAACAACATAATACCAAAACGACCTAGTTCTCATTGAAGCATGTTCACATACCGAACTAATTGTTATAGTTATCTGCAGTGGCGTATCTACATAAAATTGCGCCCATGGCAAAATTTGAAGATGCGCCCAGCTGACAATTTATAATAACTGTTGTTGAAATGAGATACTTATACGTTAGCATTTAAGTAAATATGAGAGATTACGTTGTTTTCAATTTGAATTTATTTTATTGAAACATTTCACGATTAAAACTTCGCCGTTTTTGCGCCCCTGTCGAAACGGCGCCCATGGCACGAGCCATAGCTGCCACACCCTAGATACGCCACTGGTTAACTGCAGCCTGCCTTAGATGATTCTCATTGGTATTTTAGCAGTTATTATTATTACTTTATATATATATATAAAAGGCGCCAAAGTCTCAAATGCTTAGAGGCACCGGAGTACCGCCGAGACCTTAATTTCCCTAAATACCCCTTAATTCTGTTAGGAGGTGTAATCAGTAGTTTACTAGTGTACGAGTGAAGAATCGAAACTACACGACAAAAGTTTACATTGCTTTTTTAAATTTCTTTCTCTTGTTATCAAAATCACAAAAAAAAACGTCTGCAGAATTTGTTTGAAATTCCGATCGGATTATTTTACAACTTTCAAGCAACTTTCATTTATCCTCCAATTTTTTTTCAGATGCACGGACTTGATGACGAAGGAAGCGGTTACGTGAACCACCTACAGAGGCGAGGGGGGCAACAACCCTCTCGCACATAATTATCTCCCTCGGAATAAGAGCATATGAACCCTCGCAACACAGGCAATGTAACATATATGCACGCCGGGTAATCAGAGATGCTCTGACAAGTCAATGAGAACCAACGACTGATGAGAACGTATTCTCATTGGGCAATCGAAATCGAAACGCTCAGCACGATACGCCACAGCGCCCTCATTTGGTATTTTCTGTCACTAAGGCTACGGCGACGCGCCGTCTATGAGCGGGTTTTCCTTGTCTCAAGGCACTGAAGTTTGTAAATGTACTTGTAACGTTAAATATTTTTCTGAGCAGTTGCCTAAGCCTGAATGACGATTGGAAAATATGAAAAAGAAAAGTGCTAAGTCAAGAAGTAGAACGCCAAGCGCGGAAAAAAAAAGTGAGCATAAATTAATATAACAGTATAATGCAGTAGGATAGGTAACGTCATGGTATTACTATTAGCCAGTTATTTTGTTTTAGATGCATGGACATGATATCAATATCAAGGATGTTTGTATTGCCTATCATGATGAATAACTATAAAGTCTTTGTGTATAAACACAGATAGCCTTACATGATAAAATCTGATCGATTATTGGATTTATCTTGGTTATTTATAATATTTTTAACTTATGTTTAGGAACTCCCGAAGAAAATGAACCTCCACCTGAAGATCCTCTTCCTCCTCCTATTGATGCTCAAAAGCTAACTTTGAGTGATCAAGAAGTGTTAGATGTTGATTTAGAACTTACACCAACTCGTATTCTTCCTGATGGAACAGTGGAAGGAATTCCATTTGTTCCTGATGATGCTTCGTCAGATGCAGAAGAAGAAGGAGATATGGAAGAGGTGTGCTGTGGCTATTGTAAATTGTTCATATTAGCTTATTGAGCAATAAAAAGTGTACTCCTGTAGTATGTATACCAGGTTACGATTATGCCATAATTTTATTCTGATTTTCCTTATTTTGGTTCTGAAACGAGTTCGGGACTGTCTGTGATAGCCGAGTAAATATACCTCCAAGTGAATATTTTGTTAAGGAACCGGCTGATGGAAAATTTGAATCCCACCACTGGTCGTAGCCCATCTCTAGGTCACAATAGTGTCAATTATTCCAGTCCCAATAGCCCAAGTATCTTGAAATAGAGGGAAAATAAAATATAAAAATAATAATGAGTATTCTTTATTTTGTTTATTCGATCCTGGGTAATCTGTAAACTATAAGCGATCAGCGATCTCATAAGATTATTATCGATGGTTGATCGATTGCCGGCTTTTTGTTGTAGTTCATTTCCTTTGAGTGTATATCAATACTTATTTCAGGGAGGTGCTCAAACTCTGAACCATAAAATGATGTCAAAAGCTTTATCAAACTTAACTTGTTCTGCTGATGGAAGTAAAATCACTTTTCTCAATCTTTCACTTCCTGTGAGTTGACAAATTTTTTATTTATAACATTATTCAAACAGATTTTTGTATTTCTTGCATTCTTTATTGTTTGCTGTTTCACAAACTTAATAATAGTTTGGGATTCTTTAATTTAAATCAGCAATGACGGCATGAGAATGCGTCCCTCTGTATTTTTACCCCCTGAATTACCTGGGGCTTTTTTGTCTCTCTACTCGAACCTGCAACACCAGAATCTTGATCTAAATCACTTTCATTGCCTGATTGAAAAGAAATGCTATCTTTTTATTGAATTTTATTTAAATCAGTTACCATAGCCATCATTTGATACAATAAGTATGTTTCTAGACATGATTATGTCACTTTTTGTACAAATATTTGCAAAATTCACTGAAAACATGTTTGCAGCAACTCACATGGAAATTCCCATTAAGACCTCGACGCTGCTCCAAGCTGGAAATTCCCTGGAAGTTTTGTTAATGTGAGCTCTATTAATAGGAAAAATTATCGCCATTAAACTTGTGCTTATATCGGCAATCGCTGCCTACAGCAGAACGTATACACAAAATGTATAGATATATTTTATTCTGTTAACCGTTCTTCTTCTTTTTTTTCACAGGGTTTTGGAATTCGTGATGTTTCCATTCTTAAAGAATATATTCACTTACAGAAGGTTGAACTACAATATAATAACATCAGTGATCTTTCTCCTTTGAGTGCCATTAAATATTTGATTGAACTTGATGTTTCTCACAATGAAATTGAAAATTTGTTAGACTTTGAACCTCCTTTCAATTTGAGGGTAAATATACTTATATTTTTTTTACATTAGAATTGTCTGTGTTTTATATTTAACAATTTTTAATGTGTGGTCATGAATTTTCCGAAAAATGACCAGTTAGGAAAAATAAATAGCAGTGGTAGTGAAGTAGGATCTAGAGCAGGGGTGGGCACTGATTTTGAACCAGGGGCCAAAAATTCAAGACAAGCACACCAAGTGAAAGAAAAAGGTGTGGAAATCACTCCGTCGAATTGAGTGAGCAAGAAAACGCAAAGTTTTGTTAATGTCCCCCTAACATGAAAGTCGGTGACCCTCCAAAATACTTACCGGTACATAGGATACGATCATAATTTAAAAGGCCTCATACGTTGAATCAGCCAGTGGGCCGAATTTGGCCCACGGGACATAGTTTGCCCGTGTCAGATCTAGAGTGTCCCAACAGTATCCAGTATCAATATTATTAATATTTAAAATTTTCAGGTTGCAAATTTCTCCCACAATGAAATCTCTGAAATACCCGATATATCTCAATTCCCATTCATACAAACTCTCAACCTTGATCACAATCACATTACATGCATCAAAGGACTTGAAAAATGCAAATCTCTTCAAACGCTGTGTCTTGCTTACAACAGAATTGAAAACATCTCGGGGCTGGATAATCTGAAGATATCATTTTTGTCTTTGGTAAGATCTGTACATTATGACATATGTCGATTTTGTTTATGAATATAACACATTCTGTTAAAACAACCTGGTGGCAATACATATAGGTATTGTAAATACTATGTAAAAGTAAAATGTAATTGGTTGCTTCAAGTTTAAACTAGCCTGTAAAATTTAAATTCAAGCTTCCATATTTTGAAATATTCACAACTCACTTTTTTCAATATATATTGTTCACTTTTATCTCTGCTATTTATTTAAAGTAGATTTTGGTTCAATAATAATTCTCAATATAGCGTATGTTCAGTCGTGTCCAGAAAATTAGCCACAGGAAATTTCGCTGTAGGAAATCTCGCCGCAGGGAATATTCTTTAATATAAATGACGGCTATGTGTCATAGGCTTTTGAAAATGTTACCATATGGTTTTTGTAAACCAATCTCTTATTTTTAGGGCCATAATTCTATTCTTGAAATCTCTGGCATTGAGACATTGAAAAGGTTGCAAGCAATAGATTTATCAGGAAATCGAATTGCAAGTTTATCAGGTTTGGAAAATCACGATCTCTTATCAGATATTGATCTTGAAGACAACCAGATTGGAAATATTGATGAAATTGAACATATCACAAAACTGGAGTTGCTAAGGAAATTGAATCTAATGAGAAATCCAATTGGGGTAAGTCTGCTGTTATTTCCACTCCCTCTTCTTGGCTGAACTTTTAGACAAAACATAATTTACACAAAGCAAAGAAATCTGAAATCTTTTCAGTTCAATATTGCTGCTTTATATATTCAGCATAAGCATAGATTGGTTATTAGCAGTGTTTAAACGAAATGATTTGAATCTACTAACCACCAGAAAGAATTTGACTTGAAACTCAAAAATCTTTTTGACCAAGTATTCGAAATAGCAAAAAAATTCCAGATGATTTGAAAAAATAGAAAATTTATTCGCTTTTTGCAACATTAATAAATGTTAATTAATAGTGTCTGTTTCCAATTCATCTTGGTTTGGTTTTAAAATATCGTAATGTTAAAAATTTCCAGTCTTATTTCAATGTAACTCCATGTCCATGTTTATTAAATCATTTATGACTTGTGGTAGACTTGTGACTCAAAACATCAGCAACTTATCTTGGCTCTGGAAAGCAGCTGGTCACAACTCTGGAGTCGAACGATGAAATTTGCTAGGACCTGTATTTTAATTAAGATTCTGGATGACTCAGGGCTTAGCGACTTGTACCAAACAATACCAAGGACTTAACTGTCATAGTCTTATTCCATATTATGTGGACTGAAGCACGGAACACATATTATTATTTTTAGGGATCAACAACTATTGGACTCATTAGTAAAGCACATTTCCCCATTTCCTATGGCTGAAGAACAGAGATTCAATTTTTTTTTTAAATCTGTGTGATATAATCGGTCTACACCTCTCAGTCGTAACAAAAACAAAATTAAAGATGCCAAAATTTGAATGGATAGATTTTGAGAACTCCTGCTATTCATTTTGATTTTGCTCAAACATTGAAAATGAGTAATTCAGATTATACTAATTCTGAATAATAATAATTTCAATTTTGTTTAAAACTGAATTATCTGAGCATCCTCATTTAAAAAATTAAATATCTGCTCAATGGTAATTTACATCTATGTTCGTGACTCCAGACTCTGGAAGAATATCGTCTTCACGTTCTATTCCGAGTACCTCAACTCGTTGAATTGGATCATTATCATGTTAAAGTTGAAGAAAAAATTTCTGCCGTCAATTTATTTGATTCACCACCTGAATTACAAGCTACGTTAGATCACATCACTCACACTGTTTACAATTTTCTTCAACCAAAGAAAATATATGAATGGTATGAGATGTATTGTTATGATTTGGTTTATTTTCCTGCTGTAAACAAGAGGTTAATGTTGCGTAATAGTTGACTGCAGCAGACTTGAACTCAAGAGGTTGAACTTGCGACTCTGAGATAGATAGGCCAATCTTTAAGTGAATATACAAAGAGGAATTATAAATGATAGCAAAGAACTCAGCGGCTCAGCAGCAATATTATGTTTATTATTAAAATAATATTTGCAAATGGTTTAGATGCACCACATTTAGAAAATCTATTTAAAATCAAATTACTTCCTTGGTTATTCAAATATCATGATAACAGGTATATTCATTTTTGATAATATTTTCATCAAATTTTTTTTAAATATTTGTCTCTAGACATCACCATACTCACATGTAGCTTAATTACTTTAATTCTTTAACTTTCATCACAAATTTTTTTTCTATTTTGAGATGGCTGTTTTCAGTCAATATTTCTTCTCAAAGCACAAAAAATCAATGTTCAATAAACAGCATCAAATTTGTTATGATTACTAAAGAATACCGAAGCATAAAACCAAAATCTTGAAATATGTTTTATTCTTGTCTTTTTCTAGCACGCTGCCAAATATTACCATGCCTTATCCAATGCTTGTACTGACCGGTCCTCAAGCATCTGGAAAAAGTGAATTATGTCACAGACTTGTGCAAGAATTTCCAGATTTCTTTGGATATGGAATATCACACACGACAAGAGTTGCTGGACAAAATGAAATGGATGGGAAAGATTATTATTTTATTAGCAAGGATGAGTTTCATAATCTTGTGAGGTGACCTACTAGTTATGTGATGTTACGTTTATCGAAGAATGCATAGAATTCAATGTATATTCAATGAGCTTGAAATTGGGAATGCATTTGAGTTAAGATGAAAATAATTAGCTTCTTTATTGGCATTGAATAATTATTTGAAATAATTGATAAGTTTCAATTGTTCATTGTGAATTTGATCCTTTTTTGCCCGCCTCTTGGATCTGATGACTGTAAAAAGTATTTTAGCTTGATTTCTTTCTTATTCCAGGCAAGGGTGTTTCATACAAACATGTAAAATAGGAGATGCTTATTATGGTTTATCTATGGATGCAATTGAGAATGTTGCGAAAGAAGGACTAGCTTGTGTAGTTCATATGGAAATTGAGGTATGGTATTAACCATAAATAATATGAAAACGATTGTTTGCATTTCTGAATATACCTTTGAGTGATGGCTCGAAGGTTATTGTGTTAGTTTGTCATGAGTTCAAGCGCCATACCCACCATCCTAGCCAAAGTAGAAAGCTGTCATCGACTATCTTCTTCTTTGTGAAAATTTCGAATTCTTTTCCTTTTTCAGGGTGTTCGTACTCTTAAAAATACTCATTTTGAACCAAGATATGTCTTGATTATGCCGTTTGACCCAGCTGTACACGAACAAAAATTGATGGAAAATGGAAATGTTACAGAAGTAGAGATTCAACAAATTTCAAAATCTCGGGCTAATATGTATAAAGATATAAATCAGGATAATCCTGGATATTTTGACATGACAATAAATGGAGGTATATTGTCTGATTGTTCTTCATTTGCAATTATTATATAAATGTATATTTTTAAATGATATCGTGCCTGTTCTAATTACTATTTTTATTATTTCAACTAGAAATTTTTAAATTAAACACAATTACATATTGCAATAATGTGATGATCGTTTATATTGAATTCAACTTTGAACAAACTTTTACGATTCTGTTTGATATGTGTTATATTAATAAAAGCTATCGACCTTTTCATGAGATTATATAGGTTTATTGATTACCCTTTATATGTACTTGTTACTGCACAAAAGTATGTGTTACAGCATGTCAACCTGCTTAACTTGGAGGTGTTTTGGTCTGAACATATATAGAAAAATACTCTGTCTTTTTTATAATTTCATATGAAGAACTTGATAACTGTAATCTTGCCATAGTATTCAATTTGCATCAATAAAAGTCTGATTTGACCTTACATTTTGACATAATTGAATCTTCTCTCACACAGATAAACTAGCAGAAGCATATGACAGACTACGACAACTAGTCATGGACTATCTTGGGATGTCTGAAGCTACAGATTTCTTGACACCAACAAACCAACCTACTCAGTTATCTACAACAGCTCTTAAAGATGACACAAGTATTTTGAGTGTTTCCATCCTTCAATTCCATATTCTAATAAAATCTAATATTAATAATGGATATTAAACTTACTGATAAATATTACTACTCATTACGAAGGAGGCCATTCGAATAGAGACTTTATGAATATCTCAGTACCTAACTGACTCTTTACCATCACCCGCAATGATTAGGTGAGAATGTGTATAAAATAGACATGTGTTTTTATATAGGGTTTTTCAAAGCAACCTCAACAAAAACACGGTTATTGCTAAAGAAGCAGAAAATTTGAAGGTCAGATAAGATCACAAATAAAATGGGTGCTTAGTCATTTCTTTTTCGACATGTTTATATTCCTTCCAGGTTCTAGGTTGTTTAAGGTTGATACCTTTTAGGTTGTATTTGATTTCTATTGTGACACCCACATCATGGAAGAAGGCAGGAAACAACTTTGTGAAGTTATTTTTTGTAAAAAGAAATGAATGTTTGACAAATGTTCTGTTTTCTAGCGACCACCCTGTATATTTACATTAAAGCTGACTCTGTTGGTCAGTGTTGCAATTTTTCAACACCTTCTTCATCACGATACTGACCTGTAGCGGGTAAATTTTGATTTCTTCAAAAAATAAGGTTGCTGCTTACAGAATGTGAATGCTTGTATAGAACCTTGTCCTGTGTGACAACGCATCATAAAAAGTAGTTGATAATGGTGCAATTATTGCCTTTTCAGCGACCCAGCATACAAATACATCAGGTAACATGAGAAGAACTTGGTCTCGTCCTTCATTTATTGTTGATTCAACTGCTGGAAGTAATGATGCATTGTCATCCAAACAAGCTACCAAATCAGTGAAGACACCTGTGGTTGGTTCTTAAATTAATTTTTCTAATTTGGTACATAGAACACTCAGAAGTTGTTTTGGAATGGTTGTCGATACATGGCTATCACATTTCAGTGGTACCATGAGATACCTACCGTACATTATATTAGCAGCAAATCATTGCAACTTTTAATGAAGATGATATAACAGAAGGTTGCTTATAGTCATCCAACAATAACAGCATGTAGAAAATAATACTTTTGCCAGTAATATTAACAATACTTATATTATCATCATCATTCCTTTCCTCTCCCCCGGGATAAATTTGTAAATACTATCCTATATCATGTTCTGTTAAGCTTAATTAATGATAATAGTAATTGTCTGTTTTAAATTCAAACAGAAATAATGTTCCAATCCATTCCATTTAATGTTTTCAGAGATCATTTAAATATGAAATAAAAGATTTTGTAATTCTAAAATACCATTATTTTTATTAATGATTTCTGTTAAAAACAGGAAGAAGCATCGATTAGAAGAAGAGAGAGTGCTGCAAAAGAAGCGATTGAAGGCACACCTCACGGTGGTCATTTTGATTATTTCCCCAGGTAAGTGAAAAGTGTTTTTACTTATTCTAATCCATAACGTCTAATTCCTGTTTTTGTAGTGGTTAGAGCGTTGGATCACAGATCAAAGACCTCAGTTCCAATCTCCCCGCTGACCCAGAGTGCAATAAACTGGGTTGCTATTTTGGGACTAGTTTTGAAATCCCAGGGTCAGGATTTCCGAGTCATGTGAATAATTATAAAACTGACGCAAAAATATGTGAGCATCGAGAGTATCATCATTAGGACGATTTCTGATTTTGCTGGCCTACACCTGACCAAATCTCAACATCATGCGTTACTTAATACAACAGGAGTAAATGAAATTTTCCAACATGTGGAGAGCAGAGACGTGTCGCCATTTTTTTTTTCAAGCTCTCGATGTCCATCTGTTGGGAGATTCTTGTAGTCTACGAATTTCTGAGTGTGAGGGTATTTTTACAGAGTCTGTGCGACATGTGTTTTATCGGTCACATGGTAGTTTAAACATTCGGAACTTGGCCAATTTTTCGGAGGATGGCAGTGTTTCTGGTGTCCTGAAGAGTTAAATCCCGGAATTCTACTCAAAACAAACCTGGGATAAAAAAAAAGTCGTAAATCCCGGGCTTGAGGGGAAACAACCCTCAAGCTTGCTTGAGAGTTGGTTCATGGTGATAATGATAAATGACAGTGACATTCTATAATTGCATCAGTGGATCATAAGATTAACTGGTCTCTCCAATCCATGCGAGATATTGAACATTATTAGGTTATTTCACAGGCCAATACATAGGTTTCTAATAATAAACTAAACCAATACAGACTTGGTGTTCAAGCGATATGTTGTTGATTGCCAAATGATTCCAATTAATTCAATTTTGTCATTGCGAAAATCCAAATCCCCAATCTTAAGTCAGTATTGAATAATATCAGGGAGCTACTAAATATTGTTGATTTATTCTTTTCTAGACCGATGGTACCCATGACAGCTCCGGCTATATTGGAAGGTAGTCCACTCACTCAAGCTGCCTCTATGTATCAGGATCCATCATTTGTTGCCTCAACACTTTACCCGATTGCTGGAACCAACTTGAAGCTGGGTGACATTGATTCAAGTTCCGATACCTCTTCGGACACTGCTCGAGACAGTACTTCTAGTTTATCGGGTCTTTCTTCTGCACGAGATTTCTCTGAAGCTGATGATAACCCAATTGAGAAGAATAAAGGCGGTGGCATAAAAGTCCCTGGGTTACCAACATTGTCTTCCACTGATTTCGCCAATGAACCTCTCGACCTATCTGCGCTATCGGATGCTCTTGAAAGTTTTAAGGGGTCATTGGAGGGAGCTACTTCACCCCATGTTGTAACTCCATTAACCCCAAGACCGTTTGAATCTGAAACTCTCAACACGAAACCCGTGTTGCCCCCTATAAACCCACAAGTTCTCACCACTTGAGTGCTTTTTTACTTTTATGTCAAGATTAATTCAAATGTTTGGCCTAAATAAAAGTTTATGATATATATTTGTATTAACTCGGCCAACTATCATCTGAGAGTTATGTATAATGTCTGTATATTATGTTTGATAAAAATATTATTGAAAAGCACTTTTAGTTAAATATAATGTAAGTAAAACTTTTAATACTTTGTTGTTTGATTTCTTTGTGCAAATTTCAAGATTTAAGCAATAATTTAGTAAAAAAAATAATTCAATTAACATTGATGGTAAACTGTCATCTCAAGTAGCACAATTTATTTTTGTCTGGTTAATTACTTAACAGACAATAACTAGATTCACAAAAACTATTTGATATTAAAACAGAAACATCCGATAAAAAATCGATTTTATTTTCAGAAAATCATAAACATAAGAAATTAATTGAATGGTTCCTCGGCTCCAAGTCCACAGTTGCACTCCCCAGTTCCTCGGCTCCAAGTCCACAGTTGCACTCCCCAGCTCATTCACCACGGCTTTACAGAGTCAAGTAGATTTGAGCAAATTATAAAAAAAAATTCTTAGCAGCGTTCACCTCGACACAATCCATTTCACATTTTTCCGACTGCCCGATCCAATATACAGAGAGATGACATAATGTACAATCATCACTTTATTCCAAATATGTACAAAATCATGCAGTTGGAACATGACAAAAATGACACAAACAGATAAGACAGACAGACACAACACACAAAAAAAACAATGATACTCAAACAATCTTTTGAATGCTTTACTCCCTGCAAATTTCCATCATGAAATTTGCTACTTATTATGCCAGAATATTCATACAATATTGGCCCTATAGAATTTTACGACTTACAAAATGCTGCTAACCTATCTATAATGCTTTCAATTTCGTGTTCTTTGCTCAATCTGGGGCTTAGTGAACGAACATGAGTCACTTTTCTTGAAAGTGGCTAAGAAGGGAAACCTCACCTAACCAATCTTGAATATGCAAATGAACTAAAAAAAGTCAGGGTTCTACTGCATAAATCAACCTATACAATTAATGGATATTTCTGCAGGAAAAAAACAAGAAAATAATCATGTCTCTTCAAAACAATAACAATATGATTGACTTGGTACAAATTATTTCATAGCATAAAGTTAACAAATACAAACATTACTTAACAAAAGTCACATTACGGCACAAGAGACAAAAATAGGGTCCCGTAAAACACATGAAAGACAGAATTGTTCAGTCCTTTCCACCCAAAGGGTAAATCTCCTCTTCATCAATTATCAAAGGGCCGCAAGCTTCAGGTAGATTATCACTATTCCTCACTCGACTGCGCCTGAAAGATAATACAAAGATTACAATGAAACTTCATAACTATTTGTGGGTACACTGGAAAGAAAATACAAAGGAGCTTAGAAGAGTTGAAACCGGTGCTTAAATCAAGTTGAATCATTAGGCCAGGTGTGTGCAACTTGTCAGACTTCTACTTCAGACATCTACACCACACAAAAAAAAAGGTTTTCACAATGCAAACTTATTTAACATTTTAGTGAAAAACTTCAAATTTGAGTTCTTGCTCAGTTTGTTAGCATCAGCTTTAACAGCTTACAGTGATGAAGGCACCGGGCAAAACGGCGAAAGATTTAACACAGCGACAACAGCAAAAAATAACATGTATTTTACCCTTGTGAGCACCTTTTTAAATAAACTGTCAGATTAGGATTTTAGGCCTGATGCGGAGTGCTGACAAAGACCACACCAAATGGCTTGGCAGGCCGGGATGTGGACTTTGATCCGCCTGTTGCGCACTTTACACACACTGTCTTAGGCTAGCTTTGAGAATGAAGAGAAAATGCTCAGAACAAAAATTAATATAACATTCTATACCTGATCACTGTCATCTTCATCATCAGAAATGACTTTTGCTCTCTTCGAACTTTTGATTTTATGTTTGGAAGTCGATGCTTCTTCATTGTTCGATCCATTTGACTCTTTTGATAAACGGATTTTTACTTTCAGGGCTAGAAATGAAAAGCAAATTAATAATATTTTTATTTTTTTGAACCCTTTCAACTATACATGGGATGTTTGAAAGACAGTGCCAATAACATACAGCAATTGAACGTCCGATATCAAGAAAAGTACGCACAACTATCGGTGTGAACTTCAAAACTGGCAACATATGAGGAGTATATAAAAATCTCCTAAGCAACATGAATGTATATGAAAATTAAAAACGAGTTGAAAACAAAATCAGCTAAAAAAAATTTACATACGTTCACTATCAGAATCGTTTTCAATATTCTCGACTGTTCTATCATTGATGCTGGAATCATCTTTATCTTGTGTAATACTGTTGTCGTCATCATCAGGATCTTCATCTCCAGGTGTGTTGTCATGTTTTGGGAGTGCTGGTAATTGTCCCGTTTTCTCAAGTGTTTCTCGAGCGTATGTAAATACCGTATTGAGCTTGATTGAGTCTTCGTAAATCTAGTTTGTTGAATAGTGGTGAAAAAATTAATTTGACTAGGGAACAAAGCATCGAAACTAGATCACGAAAACAAATACAAGAATCGATTCGAAATAGCCTACACTACATTTTGATTACAAACTCTATATATTGCCCTGTGGCATGCACACTGAACATGCCTCACTAGAAAAATCAAATGAAATTCCATATTTAGCTGATACAACAAAAATAAGTGTCATAATAACACAAAGCAGCATATGCTCGAAACTTGTTTGGTGTATTTGCTATATGGATTCGTGTGTTGAACCATGGGATGCTCAGAATGAATTAATACATTTGAAATTAGTTGTATTTAATATTATAGATTCTAGAGCAGGGTTATCCAATCTTTATGGCCAAAGGGCCGCATGTAGTTTATGAATGGTTGCGCGGGCCACAAGTTTGTCAATATTCGGTGCGATGAACGATGTAGCAATACGAAGTGAATTTTTTCATATGACAGTCAGAAATTAGTGATCTCACGTGGGATTTGACATGGTTCATCCGAGAAAAAACTTGCTCTTACAAGTAAGTAATGTTGGGCGGGCCGGCCCTGTCCTAGAGTAACAAGTAGAAGAAGTAACAAAAGCCAAAATATTTTCATTTATTTGAAAATCTGTCATTTGACTTCTGACAGCCAGATAAAAACTCCATTTTTAGATTCTATCACCGAGGATACAAATTAAATCAGAACAATGTTTATCTCAATTATTATGCATTACTACAATTTGATTTTTAAAATTTACAACGGTTTTTTCAAATTCCTTTTTTAAACATGACCCAATATCAATATTCAAAAATATTATTTCAGAATGTGTTTGGAATATTAAATGATTCGGTTTTGGCCAGTTTTAACCGGTTGAACCTATACTGTTGCAACAAGCCAACACTTCAACGAGAGTGTAATAAGTTGGGTAAGCTAAAATGAACCTTCAATATAGTAGTTTCAAAAAGGGGTGTGCAACATTTTTTTGTTGGTGAGTCATATAATCAGCTTCATACATCTAACTGGACCACACAAAAAAATTAGCGAGAAAAAGCAAGAGAAGAGAGTATGACTATCACTTAGCCTTACAGTAATAAATGCACCGGGTAAAACAGCAAAAGATTTAACTGTTTGATCAGAATTTTAAGCTTGTGGCCAGCAGATCGCCAGTTGCACATCCCTGTTTCAAAACAGGATCTAGAGCCTTATGCATAACATAAGTAAAAAATGATCATATATTCATAAATAGAAATTATAAAAACCAACCAGAGATCCCTCGACGTTATAAATTTGTGTGTTTTTGCACAATGATGTAAATTCTTTTTCCAGGTCGTCAAGACACCTGTATTTATGTTGTTTGATTCGATCCCTTATCTTCTTGATGTCAACAGGTTTCTTGATCATTTCATAATAATCTGGAAGATCTCGACGAGCTGGTAACTGCATGAATGGGTCACTGAGACGTCTGCCAGAACTGTTTAACAGATTCGACAATGGTTACTGCTTATAAAGATCTTTGTATTAAAATAGTATATAGTAGCATAATAGCATAAAAATAGCATAAAGTATTGGATAAGAACCTAATTAAATGAATAACAAAAAGAAAGAAATGAAGCTATGCAAACTAGAAAGAAACCAAATCAGAAGATGATTTAGGAAAATCAATGTGCCATTAAAGAAAAAATAACTAGGGATTTAGTTAAATATATTTACGAATTTTTAGACAATACAATTAATGTCAATTTTATCGTAACGAGCTTATCAAGGAGGACATTTTAATACTGAGCATGCAATTAGCCGGAAAACCAGCAGTTTCTTGAGCTCCAAGGAAATCACTCCGGCATAAAAATTTGTGGGTGCCATGGCCTAGTGCAGGGTGGTCACATGTGGCCAGCAGGCCCCGGGTTTGGACCATCCTGGACTAGTGGCTAGAGTAGGGCTGCCCAAAACACACCAGCACTTGGAAATCATAATTAATTGTAAAATAACATTATAATCCATATCGGAATGTGTCTTAGGTAAAATCATGAAAAGTAACGATTCATAGAGAGTATATGGAAATACGAACTAATCCAAGTGTGTAGGTGTGATGTCAAGCGGAATATTATAGTTTAACAACATGATCTAACCTTCAGGCAAATATGACATTGAAATGTTATTTCCAGATACATACCATGAGCTTAAAATAAACTTAGTCAAACTCAAAATTATATTCACTCCGAAACAACAATTTTTACCCGTCTGAATACTGAATAACATGATCAATGATTTTCTTCATATTTTTCGTGAGTTTTGGAGGATTAGGCGTCATTTTCTCAGTTGGAGGACGGCCTCTACGCTTCTTCGCACTGCCTGGTACTAAGAAAAACAACATACCGGTATATATATAAATCAAGTTGAGAATAATTTTAAATACATCTGATGTGATCAAACACGATCGGGAGATAATTCTTACCTTCCATTTTTTCATCGTCTGGTCTTTTTCTTTTTCTTTGTTTCTTTTTCTTCTTTTGTTCCTCCAGTTCATCAACGTCAATTCCATCTTGAATTGCCTGGATTAGAAAGAAGCAGAATAATAGAAAAGAATAAATTATGCTCTGCCAAGTATGAGATGATATTGAAATGAACAAACAAGCAAGAGCCATACTATGTAGGTGAAAGATTTCAAAAAAATCTAGTACCGGTACCTTTTCCCATTCTTTTTCTGTGAGTGATTCACTGTAATCTACTTCTTTCCTGACCCTTGACCCTCGTCCAAAAAGTTTGTCACTTTCTTCGGCCATTGTCAGTTTATCAATTTCTTCAGATGTAGCGAGAAGCCATTGTGGAAGTTCATCCTATTTAAAATGAGTTTTAAGAGCAAAATTAGATTAAAGTGTTTTACGAAACTTGAAAATCTTTGCATCGATCCATATTCGATAACAATCTAGCCAGGAATATCAGCAATCTATAGCTAATTTACTTTTGGGAGAGTTTTTCACTCCTTTTCAGCCAAATATATGATACCAATCATGTATTTTGCAGAGATAAGAATGTGGATAAGATGGTTTTCAGGCAGGCCTGCCTCATTTTTCAAATTATCAATTCAGGCATTAGGAGAGCAAATAGGTTAAATAAATCGAAGGCACTAATAAAAATACTATGCAATTCAAGAGTCCTGCTGCACACTAACACAAATGTATTTCCGTAACAGTTTGTCTGACCAAAATCAGACTTCCCCTGACAAGCAGTTTACAACACCTAATTATACATATGATTCAAACCCAATTTCCTGAAGCTGAAATGTATTCAACAGTGCCATGACAACCACCACATAACATGAGCTGGTCATGGTATCTAATCTACCATGGTCCCACTATAAAGTATTAGCATACCTCTTCCATAAGTCTTGGCTTCCTATTTGGATCTCTTGCTTCTGCGCGACGTCGTTCAATATCCATTGTTTGAAACAATTCAAATTCCTCCTCAGTTCTTGCAATCATTTGATTGATTGTTTCATCATCAGGAACCTCATCTTCATCCTATTCATTTGAATAAGATGTATGGAAAAGACTCAAAACGCTGTTAAATTTCCTAGTGCTCAAGGGGTTAATATTCATTTGGATTGAAGATAAGAAAGCCCATAAAACCACTCAAATAGCTGATAAGATTTCCTAGGGGGTTGGTATAGTGGACCCCACTCAGCCCTGGTCGCAAGTTAAAAATATCAACACCAGTCCGAAAGCGATGAATTGAATGATGATTTGAAAAATTGTTGAAAATTATTATAACTAAAAATAGACTAATCGTAATTAGAAGATAAATTTTCCAACTTCATAATATTCAAAACACATATTGAACTCTTAGAATTTTAACGAGTCAAAGTTAAAAATTTTGGCTGAAATAAAAGTATTTGTAAAAAGATAGGCTTTTGAGTCAGGGTATAGTTGTTCGGGAGTTCTGAGAATCTCAAAATTACTCAAGTAAAAACTCAAAAGTAGTCAAAAACTTTTCAAGTAAAAGCCACTCGGATAGATGTTATTCGCCAGATCCTGTAAGCCTGTTTTTAGCCATCGATCATATGTACAACATCTGTGAAATAAGGTCACGCTGAGAAGACACTGACCTCATCTTCTGCAGATTGTCGAATCAGTGTTGATAACAAAGCTCTTCTCTCACTTCCTGTTGATTTCTGATCAAACATTCCAGCTTGGATGACTTTAGAGTCGACATTGAGTTTATATCTACACAAAAAAGTTGTGATTCAATATTACTATCAGCCGACTTAGCCGTTATAACCCTACATATGCATGTTATCTTCTTGTATTTATGAAGTAAATTGAACATCTTACGGTGCTCTCAAAGTATGTGCGCCATCTGGTGCACATACTTCTGGAGCGCCAATCTTACAAAAGTTATATTATGTTTCGAGAATCTATTTGCTTAAAAACAAATTTGTCATTATCTAGATTTCCTAAAAACGCCAAATATCACTGGTTACAAAATATGATTTATGCTGATAATGTGAGTTATTGTTGATGACTGGCAACACTGCCAGTTTCTTTTCTTTGCATCGCTGTTATTATTTTACACTAGACGAATTTCGTATTGTGGCATGAAAATGAAAACTTTGAAAATTTGCAAAATAAAACTGACCTAGCAGCAGCCAGAATCTTTTCCTCCACTGAATTAACAGTCATAAGTCTCAGAACTCGAACTTCGTTGGTTTGTCCAATTCTGTGAGCTCGATCTTGGGCCTGGACATCTTGATGTGGATTCCAATCAGAGTCAAAAATCAAGACAGTATCTGCTGTTTGTAAGTTGAGCCCTAACCCACCAGCTCTTGTAGAAAGCAAAAAGATAAAATATTCTGATCCCTTTGCATTAAATTGTTTCAACATTTCTCCACGATCATCAGATTTGGTTGTTCCGTCAAGGCGAAGGTATTTATGAGCTAAAAGAAATAATTCAATATATATTTACACGAAAATATATGCAAAAGTTCTTTCCAAAACATTCTTTTTAATAATAATAAAAAACTCGATTCGGGGACAGAAATCAATATTTTTGTTGACCCGGGGCTGGAGTCATAGGTCAAAATTCCCTTCAAAAGGGATTTAGGAGCAGAAATCAATATATTTGTCGACCTGGTGTTAGTGTCATTTTAAATGGCTTGAAGTTAGGACTCGGTTGGTGTAAACTTTCACCGACTCTGCAGCTCTTATTGCAAGCATTAACTACATAATGCACTCTTTGTGATTTTCAGCACTTTCTAGCGCCTCATACCATGAATGCATAAGTACTTTTGTATTTTGCCTTTGAGCACATAAGCATGGCAGTTCTCATGTCAGCTGTAATAGACAGTTAAAGATAATCTTGGGAGTAAACATGAAGTTAAAATTCAGAAGTACTGTAGTCAGGGATGGCCAATACCGAATAGTTCACTATTTCGAATACATTCAAAATTATTATTTTTGAATATGAAATTTCGAATACATTCCAAAATAAATTCCAAGTAAAAAAGCATATTTTAGGGCATGAAGGAATTTGCATACAATAAACAAGGGAATAACTGTTATCTACAACCTGCTTATTTACCTGCCTAAATTTTTCGACGTAAAGGAAATAAATGTATAAATTAGAAGCCTTGCAGGGTAATACCGTCGATGCCAATCACGCAATTGTGCAACAGTATAAGGCGCACGCTCGCACAGAAGATCACAAACAAAGGAAGTGCCGATTCTATTTTATTGTGATTACAATATGTTATAAAGTGCGTAGAATCGTTCGTAGATTTTGCTTGGAAGCGAAACACCTTGCTGACGGCGAAAAGTAGCTACTATTCGGAATTATTCGAAAATCAGCCAAAAAGGTATTCGAATAGTTTGATATTCGAATGTTTTCGAATATTCGATTCGTTTTGGACAACCCTGACTGTAGTACTTCAGAAGTATATAAAAGAATCTACCAAAAATTTGATTGGGCACTCTTTTCAGATGAATTGTTAAACCATTTTCTAAAGCATAGCATTCTTTTCTCAAGAAAGTAATAACACTCATCAAATTTTACAAATTATCATTATCAAATTACATATAAAAAATTCAATAATTTGGTATTCAAAAAATCTATTATTTCAAATTATGCTCAACTAAATTCTGTTTGCAACAGTAAAAGTTGATACCAAATGGTAACAAAAATCAAAAAATTAAAATTACATCTATAATTGAAATAATCTTCAAGAATTGTCATCAATGAAGTCATCTGGCAGAAAAGTAGAACTCTGTGATTTGTTCTCTTCAACTTTGGGAAGATACGATCAAGCAGTTCAAATTTTCCACCAGCTCGATAAAGGTCTGGACTGAAATAGTGAAAGAAAATTTAGCGCAAATAAATTCGAGACCTGAAATGAATCTAATTTTTAGTGGTAAATGTTGGTGGTTGTCAAAATTGAATGTTCTCCTAGTCCGACAACCGACATATTAAATGAGTTTGAATTAAAAAATTTAGGCGGATAAGATAAACGGTCATTTAATCAATGTGTTTATTGTATAGTTTTCTGGGCGCTCCCGTAGTATGTGCATCAAGATGCGAACAACCTGAACCCTAACCTGGTACCCATACTATGTTCAGGTTGTGCGCCATCTTGGTGCACATACTACAGGAGCACAGTAAAACGCCTTCTCAGATATACTGTGAATGATAATTTACAAATGAAACTATTCTGGATTATTCTCAAAATTGAGAATCTGTAATTATTAAATATAATTATTTTCAAATCAACTCAAATATTTGTTTCAAAATGAACTCCTAAAATCGACAGTTTAATCATTTTTATTGGACACGTAGTGGACATAACGATCGTTTCAAAATTTTGTTGTTATTGTTATTATTTGTCTCCGTCAACACCTTTTGAAGAAATCGCTTTTCTCTTCGAATACTGGACCAATTGCTTTGAAATTTTCAGTGGTTAAAGATAAAAATTTTCTCCAGAAGGCTATTACTTTTATTTTCGCTAGGACGTCATCAAAATTATGTGACTCTATGTGTCCATATATTTGAGCATAGCTCTCTTGTTTATTATATCATACTATGTTTTTTAGAACAATCTTACCCAGAAACAATACCGCCTGGTATCTTCAAATGTTCACACATTGCTTCTTCAATATGTTGAAAAATAAACGGATGGTTGCAGATTTTCCGTAATTGCATAATCGTGTTCATCAATGCCTTCGCACCTCCTTTCCCTTGTTTTCCTGCAAATAATATAAAAAGATTCATATGGTAAAATGAATTTCCGAATTACTGATATTCGAACATTTTTTAATAAAATCATTCATTTGGTTATAGGTGTTGCATAATAACATCATCACAAATTTTTAGAATGTGTTCATTTTATGTAGGATAATAAAATTCTATTTTGCCAACAAAAACTAACTAACAAACATTTCTTCTACACATGATGAAACAGTATCATATCGTTCCAAATTAATGGGATTTATTGAGAAAATAATTTCAAATTATTGAAATAAACAGACATAGTAAAAAAAGCACTGAAAACTATACCACGGAACGTGATTAGGAAAAGAAAGACCAAACTATTAAACTGCGAAACAATCATAAATCCATTGTTAAACAGGTATGTGACAATATACAGATACATGAACATTGACTACAACTCATGGAAAGAATTATGCATTGGAGGTAATTAAAACAAATTCTCAAAATTTGGCAAATTTGAGTAAAAATAAAGGGTTCCAGTTATCCAATAGACAATCTTATAAATATGTATCAGTGGTTGCTTTACAGAGCCTTGTTCAGAGTAAGAAGTTCAGATGTAGAAAAACATCTGATTACAAAGACAACTTCAGAATTTTAGGAGAGAAAAAATTTTTTTCTCCAAAACAAAATCAATAATTTAGAAAAACAATTAGTAAAACTTTTTGCCCAACAAACTACCTTTCTCAGATCCATCAGTTAGTAGCAATCCATTCCTCTGCATATGACTGTACAGAAGACGTTGCAATGCTGACATATCACATTTGACAACGTATTCAACCTAAAGAAGTACAAGTATGTATTAGTAACGAAATAACCTGATAATAAATAAGCATATCAATTCAGATAAATATGAAAATGTTGAAAGTTTGAAAATATTCATATAGTGCATACAATTGAAAGTTCACTGAGTAAACAGGAAGCATCTTCACCCAAATTCGATAAAATAAGTTCAAGGACGCTGGAATGTGGAAATGTGCCTAGGCATCTGACGTAAATATATCATACCTTTTCTGGCAGTTGTGATTCCACTTCTTTTTTCAGTCTTCTAAGTAAGAAAGGACGCAAAACTTTATGCAAACGGCGGATAATAAGAATAGTCTCTTCCTCGTTCAAATCCACCTACAAAAAGTGAAAAAAAAATAACAAACTTTCCAACAATTCATTTGCATGGTGTGGCCAAAACTGAACCATCTACTGTTACGTATATATTCTAAAATAATACTCTGGATTATGCAAATTAGAATATATTCAAAATTGGTTCATATTGCGTCAAAAGTGGTTCCAAATTGGGTCAACAAAGAACACATAGAAGTCTTGAGTTTAAACTTTGAAATGCAGGTAAGTTGTTCAATTGGTTCTCTATTTTTCTAGAAATTAAATGAAAGCCTTTTGCTAATACTTCAATTGGCCAGTAACAACTTAAATAAATAAAATTATTCTAAATTATTCCTAAAATCAACAAGTTAAAATATTGAATTGCTCCGGATATTTGTTTTATTTTAGACATTCTTGTTCAGGTGACATAAAATTCAAACTCCATAAAAAAGCAACATTATGAGTTATAATGGGTTGATTTTATAGCACTATACCTACCTTTTCACCCGTCATTGCAAAGGGAGCATTGAACCATTGTTCAAACGTGGTGCACGACTTGAAAATGGATGGCAGAAGAAAATTCAACAGAGCCCAAAGTTCTGGTAGTTTATTCTGAAAGAAATACCAAAAATATACAATAAATATCTTGAAAATCAATTCCTTAGATGAGCACTTTTAAATATCGTTGCACACATTCAATTGTGACAAAACCATGTCTGTGAAGAAACTCACATAAATGATCTAGGCCAGGGGTGTGCAACATTTTTGGTCAAGTGGGCCATGTAACCAACTTCGGACATCTTGCTGAACCAAGGGTAGAGCTGGGCATTTTCGAATACCTGATGATTTCAGAATTGAATCTCGATACTTGGGAGACATGAAATTGTCTGTAGCTTTCTTATTGTATTAGGTCTTCCGGCACATAAATTACTGAAAACACAGAATACATCACTCAGGCAGATTGCTGAGAGTTCACACACAATAAAAAACCTGTTTTCATCAATAACTCACTACAGAAAAGAGTCATAATTGCGTTGAAAAAATATGGCTTCAATAAAAAAAATTGAGAAATTTTCCTGACCATTGGAGGAAAAAAAGAAGATGGCGGCGATTCTATATTTTGCTCTGAACTGATTCGAATAATTTCATATTCGATTCGAAATGCCCAGCCCTAGACAAGGACCACACTAAATGGCTTGGTGGGCCTGGTTGTGGCCCGTGGCCCGCATATGGCACACCCCTGATCCAGATACTAACTGTGTTTGCGAAGACCCAGCTCGATGTGTGACGTGCCCCTGATCTAGATAGTAACTGTGTTTGGGACGGTCAGAATTCTTTTAATTCTACATAACCTAGAAATAGGTAGGGCTGTGCTGGGGTTGAACAATGGACAGACTTAACAGGGGTTTGAACCAGAGATGGGCTGCGATGACAACAAGGTTAGACCCAAGAAATGATCACTAATACATTCCACCTCCTCAGAGGCAGGAAGTGGAATTGCATACAGACCCAAAGCAGCATTTCCTCATGATTTAACATATTCGCATTCTTGATTTCAACAAAAACCGACATACTTGTAAAGGTGTTCCAGTCAATAGTAATCTGTGGGGACTCAGATAATAAGTGTTAAGAACTTGGGTTAGTTTACAATGATGATTCTTCATTCTATGACCTTCATCAACAATTTGATATTTCCATCGAACCTGGTTAGGAACATATTTACGTCGATAAAAAATTGAGCTTGTTAGGATTATAGCAAGAATGGCCAAAACAAAAAACCAACTATTTTCAAATATTATTCCAAAATATTGAATATCAAATTTATAAACCATAATTGGATTGGGTACAATTTTTGTAGTCTGTTGGCCATACTGTGAAACTTGATTGCTCAAAATAATTTTTCTAATAATAATTCTAAATTATTCCTGAAATCAAAAATTAGAAATATCAAATATAATTAATTTCGAAACAATTTGATTATCAGATCAGGTTTGAACTCAGTAACTGTTGTGAAATTTGAGCTACCATGCCTAGGCAAAAAACATACCAATGAAATGAATGTATGTGGGGAAGATACTATTGCGATATAACATTTGAGTTGCAATTTTAATAATGATAATAATCATTATTATCTTCTGTGATCTGGCATGCTCAATACTAATTTATTGCTATGTCTAAATCCTTGTGGTGTTACTTTTAAGCAATCAAATTTCAATAATCCTTTTAAAATAGATATTTACTAGTGTTCATTAGCGGTATTATGTTAGAGGTAAATTTATGTTTCCCTTTTAAAAATGAACAATAAAAATGACAAAATATCGTATTTTCATCATCAGATATATTTTTAAAACAATATTTTAAGTCACTTACCTTAGATAGAACATGCTTATCCTTAATAACATATTCATAAGTTGTAATGACAACATTAAATTTTCCTCCTCGTAATTGCTGAGTAAGTTGCTTGCGTATCTGAGGTGCCCCCTTGTATGCAATCTTAATCACAGATGGAGCCCATTTCTCAAATTCCATCACCCAATTAGAAAGGGTTCTGGTAAAAAGAAATATATATTTTTAAAGTTGAAAATATTTTAAATCCATTCAAATCGATTCAAGGCCAAGAGCACTCATATAAAATTAAAAATGTAGCTATCGTGTTTCCCCGAAAATGAGACCTAGCCTGAATTTAAAAAAATAATTTTAATATAAGCCCTCCACTTAAGATAAGAACTAGTCAATAGCAAGAAATCTCTCCTACATGTTTTAAATGATTGGTCATTATTGAATAATCCATGTTTAGCAGTTTCCTTAAATGAAACGTGTTACAGTATTTATAAGTAAATGGATATCGGTTTTCGTATTTTGTATGTTTGAAAATCTTATAATTCTCTACTTCGTAATTTTGTTGTTAATAAATGAAAATAAAAGACATCCTCGAAAAATAGGCCCTAGTGTAATTTTCCGGAAGAAAATTGAAATAAAACCCGGTCTTAGTTTTGGGGCTTCATGGTATCAGCTGCATGTAGACTGATTGTTGTTGTTTTTGTGACTGATGGTAACATCGCATATTTAATTGAAATGGTTTCCAAATACTGGAAACACTGTTCTGCAGAGAGCTGTCTCTAGTCTATTTATCAACATATCTCTGATTTAATCATGTGTATTCAAATATATACATGCAAGTACTTACGATAGGGGAACAATAATCAAAAATGGCCCATTGACATGTTTTTTCTCCATCAGGTGACACACAAGAGCAATGGTTTGGATAGTTTTTCCTAAACCCATTTCATCAGCCAATATTCCATTCAGATTGTTGTTGTACAATGAAACTAGCCACTCAAGACCTTTGACCTGAAAAACAAAATACCCAGGAAGGGTTAATTATGTGCGAGAGGATTGCTAGACTCCCCGCCGCCCTAGGGTGGTTCACGTACCACTGGTCGGTTTTAGCTTCTTCCATCATCAAGTTCATGCATCTGAAAACAAACTGGTTAACTAATCCCACAACCGACATGGACTGGTAACCGGACGAGAGGCCGTGGTTCGCCATATGAATGATCCATCTTATGGGCTTTCCTCTACTTTGGGATAAATATGTAAATTCTATCTTAAACTGTATATCATGAGTTTAGAACAAATTCTGGTGAAATCATGTCATGAGTTTGTAATCGAAACAGCAGGGTTTATAAGTCTAAGTAATTAGTCCCATGTCAAGCTTGAAAGTGAATTAAGTCAGATAAGACTAGTTGATACATCTAAGAACAATGGCTCATGAATAAATGTCAACTGAGAACAGTTTTTATTGGACACAAAGTCGCCATGTTGATCGTATTGCTGATTCGTTGTTGACGCCGCTTTGTCGTTGTGAAAAAATCACTTTTGTTCATAACTAATTAACTTGAACCAAGGCTACCGATACTATCATTAGTTATTGGACCTTGTTACCAGTATTTTAGTGAATATATCATGGACTGATATCGACGTTAACATCTAACAAGTAAATCGAATCTGAAATTTCAATCCTGTAACTTGGTATTTGGAATTTAGGAAAAATTTTTTGGATACCAATTCCTGAAATTGATACAAAAATAAACTAAACAACCTTAATGTTCACATTTCCAGCTTACCTGGTATTCTTTCAGTTGTCCAGAAACCATAATGCCTGGTTGATCAGTAATAATTTCAGTTATAGAATGAGCAACTGTGTAGTAGCTGCGATAATCAACAACACTTTTGCCTTCACCACCATGTGTATATTCATCATCAATTTCTCCACTTGCCACCTCAATTTAAAAAATTTAAAATGTCGATAACTGAACTTTATGATTATTTTGCAATAATTTCCCCAAATCTGAATGATTCTTGCACCTAAACATTGACATAAATTATGATATTACTATCCGTTGAGAGTTAAGACTAACAACCTATACCTCTTTCTCCTTTCTCAATGCTTTTGCACTGGTGGATCGATATACGTATAAGGCAAAAATACTATAGCAAGAATTTAGATGTCTATTCAAAGCGATTCAAAAGCTTTGGTGCACATTAACACATCACATAATAACCCTTTTTCTACTTATAATGATCAATATTATGATGTAAAAAAGCAAATCTTCCCAAAATATAAAACAGCTATTGTTTTTGAAAGGTGTTGAATGTTTCAGGTTCGGCATTGCCTACTCTGTGGGTGAAAAGGTTGCCATGCGATTTGAATATCTTCAACCAGTTACACCAACATAGCTAGGTACAATACTACGACCACTATACCATCCAACCATCGTAATTAAGTGAAATAATATTGATTGTGCAGCAAAATTATTGAGCAAGCAATGAGAAAGATAGAGCTCTTTATCTACTTACAACTTCACTGGAAACTTCTTCCATTTTTTCTTGTGATCCTTCAACAGATTCATCAGCTTCTTCTTCCTCCTGAAATAGGAAATCTTGGTTACAGTGGCCCTGGATGGAACTCGCACTGATGCTCTAGTACAGTGGTTCCCAAACTTTTTAAGCCGCACCCGCCTTTGGAGTTCATTAAATCTCGCGCCCCACCTCAAAAGTAACTAGCTAACAATAAGCTACAAATAACAGAGAGTGAGGCAAGAGTATGTTTTATTCTTAAAACATGTTGAAAATATGTGGATTAAATGTAAATACCCAAAATAAAGAAAACTAAATATCCAAAATGAGGCGGGCAAGATCAAATCTAACAAATATTTTTATTTTTAGCTTCACGCGCCCTCAAAAATTTTCTACATCCCCCTTGTGGGGTTTGCCCCACCATTTCAGAGTCACTGCTCTAGTGCAAAAGAACCAAGAATCTATTTTTTTCTACTATACTTGTTATAATTATGAAACTCAAGTATTATCAGTATTTTTCCCTGTGAAAAAAATAACATGATAAAATTAAAACACGATTTATTCTCTAACAAATCAGGTAGTGCAGTGAAATACCCACTTCCTCTTCATCACTATCAGTTCGTGGTGCAACTTGAAAATTGGGATGCATTTCGAGCCATGCGTCAAGGTTGGATGCACGAGGGGCATCATCTCCAGTCATTACTTCACCTGTCTCAGTATTTAGAACAGCGATGTGACGGTCTGCATCATCAACCTAAATGCAAATGTTTATATTAAATATTAACTCATAGAAATAGCCAGTGTAAATTTGTATAGAAATGATGAAAGTATTTTTAAGTTTTAACATTAACACTATGTCTAAAATAATAAAAATTAGTGCATTTGGGGAATTTTCTTGAATTCAGACCAAATACTACTATTACATTGACGGGAAAATGGAAAATTTGATTTCTCGTATCAAAAACAAAGACTTGGTTCATCATGTATAAAGTACCATAATAAATTTAATCAGCATGATAATTAAATTCCATTTTAAATTTTCCTGAATTTAATTCCAAACATAAGCCTAATAATGTTTAATTATGCAGCATATATAATAAACTGATGCTCTGAGATTATTCAATGCTGCCGGTAACAGCTGTTTGCTACTAACGTTAGGAAAAATTACCGTTATGTATAAGTATTTCTGTTTTGAGATAATAGTTGCCTTGATGGCAATCTTGTATATGCAACTTATTGATTGATGATGCCAAACAAAAATACAGAATAAAACTTTATGAATTCATTTTGGAAGGTATCTGCATTTTAGTATCTATGTACAGTAGGTATAGGCAAAGCAATGCGACTGGACATACAGTGGACTTGATGGACAGTCCCGCAATTTGATTTTGGCGAGATGAAGTCCAGCGATTGACGGCCATGGTGCATAATGAAGATAGACTAACAGTAACAATACTTCATATCCATATATTTTTGCATTGTTCTCTTGTTTCAAAACTTTTCAACAAGTTGAGAAAGTTTCAATCTTATGATTAAGACAATTAAAAAAGTAAAATTGTAGTTTGTATCTTTGTATTAAGTTAATGGAATTAGTCCTTGTAATCAATGTAATAGGATTATGAAACATACATGCATCCTTGATTACATGCAACTTACATTCTCGCTTTCTGCGCCTTCAACCTGTAAAGCAGTCAAACACTACGATCACTGAGCACTTATAAGCGTTTTTTTTAATTTAAATTTTAAAATGTTATGTACAATGTCCTCAATGTTATTATCATTAAAGAATGCACTATTATTCCCCACTATATTTTTGTCTATAATTCAGATATATCTGATATTCCTAGAAAATATCTTCGAAATAGCTTAGATAATCAAAATGGATCGATTCGAAATTAGTAACAGTAAGTAGTAAATTCCTGATTTATTTAATTAAAGTAATAATTCGGATTCAAAAATTTGTCATTTAAGCATATTATGCTTAAGACAAAGGAAGGTATATCTCAAATTCATTTTGTATAAATTTACATTGATTTTTGTTGTTTGCTGAACATTACCCAATTAAAAAATATTCCACATTCGAAAATATAATAGTAATGTGTGTACCAGGTTAGGGTTAGGCCATAAATTTGTTCCGATTTTCTTTATTTTAGGTCTATTACGAGTTCGGGGACTGTCTGTGTTAGCCAAGTAAATATACCCCTGCCCATAGGTTTCAGTCCCTCCACACAAGTTGACGTGAAGTAGGTAAACAGAATTAGTTACCTCCATATTGGTAGTTGGTACACACACTTCTGGAGCGCCAAATGGCCTAGCATTAATTTAGACAACAATTTTCTAACATCCCTACAATATGCTTACTTTTTCTTTTTTCTTCTTTTTTCTAACGCCCTTCTTCTTAGCAAGTAGTACTTTGTGTTCTTGAACCAACTGTACAATATTTCCGATGTATTCATCAGTTTGTTTGAGCAAGTAAGCGAGTCTTTTATCCTTCTTTTCATCAATGAGTTTCCTATATCCTTCCTCATCTTCAGCCTGTAAAAGAAAGAAAGAGACATTGAGTGAATAGTAGTTGCCTAAAAAGATGGTTAGACCAGGGGAAATTGTTTTTGATATTTCAAATTCTTGATATGGGCATGGTTCTATCGAAATAAATATGATCTGTTTTTACAGACTTTGCCATATAAAACTATGAGTGCGCAATAGTGCATTGTGCTTTGGTGCCTAACTGACAAACAAAGAAACACAATTTTTCAGTTCCGACTTAGTGGGGGGTGATATGAAAAAAAAATAAAAAAATATTTTAGTGGACGAACATCACCTGAGATGACGAAGAATCTCTAACAAAAATGAATGATATCTTGATGAAAATTACCTAGTTATTTTTTAACCAGAGTCTAATAAAATGGCTTATCTCAAACTTTAATACCACCATATAAGTTAAGAAGTAAATACAAAATTGAAGACATGAATTGTTACGCACCATTAGTCTTCTCATTCTCTCTTTTTCAATTCTTTCCTGTTCTTTTCGTTGCTCTCTCTCCGTGTTTGCATGATAAAGGAGTATCGCTTTGTTCAATTTTCCAATCTGGCAAACACATTATTTTTATGATATTTTATGTGCATAAAAACAGGCTCATGTATGGCATTGATTAAATGGGAATATTGTAAAATAGAGCGAGATTTTGTTTCCAATGGGTCGCATTTGTATAACAGAAAGAAAATGTATCCAGAGTTTGGTAACCTCTGCAGTGCAGAAATTTCAAAAACCAACTGTACAGATACAGCAGGGGTGAGAAATTACTTTTCTGAGTGGGCCAGTTACAGATAATAGACTCGGTTACTTGGCCGTAGGCTCAAACTCAATATACAAAATTATGGATAAAAAACAGTTTATTTACAACAGCTAGTTCAACAGGTTGGAAAACTTTATATAAAAATAAGAAGGACAATGTAACAATTGGGGTCATTATATTGTTATTTTCACCAATATTTTCAAAGGAAATTTATATCCATAAAAACTATAGTTGTAATCTCAGCAGACACAAGTGGCCCGAATGAAACATTTCGGTGGGCCGGATCCGACCCGTAGGCCGTAATTTGTCCACCCTCGAGATACAGACTACACTCAAGAAAGATAATGAAAAAGCATTTTAAAACTTCACCTTCGCTGTACAATTTCTATGATAGTCTTTAAATTCCTTGCCATGTTGAATGATGCTTTGCAAGAAATCATGATGCTTTTGACGTCTTCGTTTTTCTGCTTCCATGCGTTGTTGTTTTTCCATTCTTTCTGTGATTCGAGCTTCTCTGAGAGTCTAAATAATTTTACATTCAAGGAAAATTGACATAATTGATCTTGTGTTATTTCCACTTATGTCAACAGACTCTGCTTATACAGTCTAGGTCTATATGAAAGTTTAAAAAAAGCCATAGAAAAATTATTGAAAAAAAGAGTCTACTGAGTCGTGTCAAGTGAAGTGTATCTGCCGTTGTAAACATTAGAATGTTTGTATCTAGTCATATTCTTATCTCAAATGATTAGGTGAACTAAATCAGAGTAGAGTCAATTGTGGAAAAAAAAAGTACAGTAAAAACAGACTGAATACTAGAGAACCGAAAAATGAAACAAACTTGTCTTTTTGTCCTCTTGTAAGCTCTGGCATTCAGGGCTGTTTCAAGAGTAGTATCACGCTTCATGGCACCCAGAACTTCTTGGCGGAGTTGTTTTTGAAAACCTTAAAAATGATGGATGCAATTTGCAATTAAGTATTATAATACATAAATAAAATATTACAATTGCTATCGTGAACTATTTTACCTAGCACATATTACCAGATAATACAAGAGAGTGAGCTTCAAATATATGAACAAAAAGGTCAAGGCCACCACATGTTATTAAAATTTTTGCAAATGTTAGAAGAATTGCACAGAAGATCATTTGAAAGCCTGCTCATCAATTATAAAAACTACTCAAAAATTTGGAGTGAAATATCAGGACCCAAAAGACTGAGGAAATTTGAAAAAAATAATGTAACAGCCTTCTAGTAATGTAACCTACTTTAGAAATACTCTTGTACAGGAACACTGCATCTTGGGATGTACGAACCTTTGCCTATAGTTTCAATAAAAATTTAGGACTGATCAAGTGGGACCTAATTCATTTTTGTGTGAAAAAATTTCTGATCCATGTAATACGTATAAGATTCCACCTACCAAGCAACCTCAGTGCTTTCAGTTCAATTGTTGCCTTCACTCTCAAATCTTCAGCTATGTTGGCAGGCAGTCGCTCGAGCAAATCAATTCTTTGAGCAATCCGTGCTTGGATCCTGAAAAAAGATGGCCACAAATTTTAATGATATATTAAAAACAAAACAGTTTTAGACTTAATTACTGACATGTTGAAATTGAAGTTTAACAAAGTTCTCGTGTTTTGTTCCAACTTCCTACCCAGTATATAATAAATCAAGCAAGCAATGCCAGACTGGGAAAATCGAATGATAGTTTCTTACATATCAATGGCTGCTTTCACAGGGTGTTGTTAGCAGTGAGTGTGTAAGAACGCCTCATTAAAAAAATTCGCAATATTTTTGCCATAAAATTTAGGTGTATATATCTGCGCTATGTAAACCTCCTATAAGAAGCTTCCAAGTTTGTAGAGAATTTCTAAGAAGCCAATAGAAAATTACCTCTGAGGACTCCGCATTAAGAATCTTATATTTGCGGAAATCAACAAACTTATTAAAAATCCTCTACCTGTTTTCTCTTTCTTGCAAGATGATATTTGGATCGATTCCTTCAGGTTTTTTCAATGGTGTGAGTTTTGTATGTTTGGGTGGTAGTTTCAGTAGAGTTGCCAGATCCTTTGGTTGCTCTGGTTTTGCAGTAGCAGTTACCTAAAGAAATCAAAAATGCATGCTCTATTTAAGATTATATGAAAATACTGTTTTGGTGAATGGACTAAGAAAACTCAATCAGACCAAAACTGATAATAATGTTAGGTAATCTATGCTCTTGTGACTTCATTCTTCATATGATCCAATGTTAAAATTGTTTGTTGATGTCATTTATTATTTCCCCCCATATTATGGAATTGAAATGGTTCAAAGTCTATTAAAAACATTTATTATAATTTGAGATAACCATTTCCACTACTTACAGAAGTTTTTGCAGCAGCAGCAGGCTTAACATTCTCTTGACCAGAAGCAACAGTAGTGGTTGATTGTTGTTGTCCTTTAGTATCAACAGAAGGAGACGAACCAACCAAGGCTGGATTCAGCAGAATAATACAGTACATAAAATAATATCAAATTTCGCTATTATTAATTTTGATTCGAGTCTCGAACCATGTTCGAGTCACTGCTTTCCCGGGCCACAAGTCAAGATAATTCACTGCTGTTTCGAGGCACAATTCATATCATATTAAATTTCATAGACAATAATTATGTGGGTAAACATGGGTCATTGATAGTAAGACTCAGGATTTCCAAATTGAAATATTATTTTTTTAAATCTATAGCAGTTGCAAAAATGTTTTTTTTTTTATCAAGAATGACAATTGTTAAGCATAACATAATATCTATAGTTAATTAATATATTATTGGATTGTACGAAGTATTTGATTCATGTTGACCCCAAGAGTAGACTCACTTGTTCCAGTGCCAATGGGCTGACGTTTTCCACTAGTTGCTTGTAATAACTGATGCGGAATTCCTTGTTGCCTCGCCAACATTTTATAAGCCATAATTTGTGCTCGGAGTTGGTACAACTGAGGATTAGAAAATGCAACTTGAGTTCCTGGAGGCAACTGAGCCCTAAAAAGAAAATGGCATTGCTCAATCCATAATGAAATATATACTAGAGACACCATATCACTTTTTTTTGTCAATACAGGTCCGATACCAACGGTAAAAGCGATACAGATACACAGATATTTCAAAAAGCGATATTCAGATAATATGTAATTATCATCTTGATTGTATAATACAGACGGGATAAAATAATCGTCTGTGAGCAACATTTACAGTAAACATTATTTCAGCTTAAAAAACAGGTATCTTTAGAACTTGATAGACTTGAGAAATTGATAGGACGAATTGATATCATTAGAATCACTACTAAAGGTTTCAAGAACCGGTACTTGAATTAATTACATCATAAATTGCTTTGCATACAGAGGCGAGCCTCAACACTTTCATTAAACAAATTATGTTAGTTAATGCAGACGTAGCGTTGAGCACAAGTGCATGGTAACGCAGTATTCAATCTGTAAAACCAAAAAATTGTAGTATAGCTATTTGGTGATAACTTGAGTTTAAAAACAGTAAAAGTTCAAAATTGTAATAAAATGTCATGGTACCAGAAAACGTGATGACATTAATTTCCTTAGAGTCTTAGTGGTTGTCTCTACAGAAAATATAGTCTTGTAGGTGAAAATGAAAACCAACTTTAAATAAAACAATGTAAAAGCAACAGTAAATACCTGGTTGATTGATCCGGCAATACTGTTGGTGGTTGGGGTGTAGCTTGACTACCTGCAGCAGGTGGCGGTGGTGCAGGTGCTCGAGCTGCAGGTTGAGATTGTGGTGCTATGTATTGTGGGTGCTGAGGTGGGTATCCATGTTGTTGAGTCTGTGGAGGTTGAGCTGGGTACTGAGAATAACCTGACACTGGACATAAAAATCCATGTTTAATGATATTCTGGGCAGGAGTGTGCAACCTTTGATACATTTTTATTGTGGGCCGGATTTGGCTCGCCGGCTGCACACCCCCATTCTAGGACCTAAGCTCAATGACCTTGTGGCTAGAGGCTAGAGCGTAGGGCTTTTTTAAGTTTATTTATGTTAAGTTTTTTTATGTTTATTAGGTATCGTGGGTTTTCACTATAGAAGGCTAGTAAATTTTGATAGTAGATCCCTACATAACAGTGGGTACTATTACAGACCCTTGTTTAGAGTGAAAATACTGTATGGAAAATAATTAAAATCTGGAAATCCTAAATTCTTGATCATTTCACTAACTTTGTTGTTGTCCTTGAGGAACTTGCTGATGACCTTGGGGTGCCGTCATATGGGACTGTGATGGCATGTGTACTTGTCCTTGAGAAGGTGGGTGTCCTTGTGGTGGTTGCATGTGACCTTGAGGTGGTTGCATATGTGCTTGGGGTGCAGGCATGTGAGGTTGTGGTGGTGGATGTCCTTGTGGCACCTGAGGATGACCTTGGGGTGCCTGCGGATGAACTTGGGGTGCCTGAGGATGACCTTGTGGAGGCGGGGGATGACCTTGAGGAGGTGGCATGTGACTTTGTGTCGGCATGGGAGTCGCCTATTGTACAAAGAAAAAATATTACAAGTTAAAGTATTTATACTTTATTGCTAATAGATGCTAAATAGAAAACTTAGCAATAATTTACATAAGATTATAACTCTATTCTATACGAAACGATAATTTCTTATCTCTGGAACATATTTTCATAGCCTTCCATTATGACCAGGCAAGTTTGAAAAAGGTAACGATTGGCTAAACTCAGTCATACAGAAAAGTTTTCTCAACATATAAGGAAAAAATATTACTGAGACTTTTCATAATATTTTTTGGTTCACCTTTTGCCAGGAACCCATACTATCTTGAGTATATTGAACTTGCTGTGTTGGTTGACCCTGATAATGTTGAACTTGAGTATGGCCTTGGCTAGCTGGGGGTCCATATTGTGCAGGAGGTTGACCTGCAGAAGGATGAGGTTGCTGCATCCCTGTATTATATAAAAGTAACAGTTATGAAAGGATTCACAAGTGTTTTTGGGCCCAACCAATACATCAGCATTGATTAATAGTACTGATAGCGAACAATCAATCATGAAATTGCTATCTATAAAAGTTTGCTGATGGTTTTCTTTAGAATATTTCTAGTGTTAACAGTTAAGTACAGGAAAATATGCTATTATTGAGTTGCATCTCAGCTGAAGCAAATAAAATAAAATAGTAAGTTCATTATTATTTTGTTGAACTCATTGAATCACTAAATCCAACAAAAGGATTTGTAAGTTCATTATTATTTTGTTGAACTCATTGAATCAATAAATCCAACAAAAGGATTTGTAAGTTCATTATTATTTTGTTGAACTCATTGAATCAATAAATCCAACAAAAGGATTTGTAAGTTCATTATTATTTTGTTGAACTCATTGAATCAATAAATCCAACAAAAGGATTTGTGTTAACAATCTTAAAGAAAAGAAGAACCAAAATTAACTTTACTAGACTTGCATTTTAAGAATCATATGAACAAAATTTAAACTATTTTTCCGAGAACAATTCACCTTCTTGTATCAAATACATGATTAACATTAAATACAGAAAGCAGTGCACAATATTAATCAATACTTTGTTGCAAATTGATATACTTTAGTGCAATCAAAATTTTAGTTCTGAGCACAATTTTTAAATACCGGTACATACTAATTGAATATGGGCATTTTCATTTTCAGTGTTGCACGAAATTGTAAAATGTTCTTTCTGTGCAATTTTGTTGCTACTTATAGCTTCTTTTTTACAAGTGGAATATGGGCTTTAAGTTAAGTGTAAGAAAACTATTAGCATTGACTAAAAAGTGGTTTTGGTGTGTGTTATTATGAGATATGAATTGTCACATTAATTTCATGTAGGGAAAGCCTTGATTGTATATATCAGGAATGGCGAACCTTTTTTAGTGAATGGGTCAAAATTTATATTTTATTGTGGAAAAGAAGACTATAGGTCATAGATATCTAAAAAGGTTTGCATCAATGAAAAGCTCGCTGTTATGTCTTTTCCACAAGTGTTATATTGTGGTATTGTGTTCGCATGCATATGAATTACCAAAAAGCATTTGCAATTCTATGTCAAATCTTTTTCATGGTTTCGAAAGAGTTTAGAAGAAATTTTCACTTTGAGAGGATTATATTTTCATCGGCTTCTAGCAAATTAAAGTCACTATCATCCTGCTTGAATATTATTTTGTTTCCCAACGGCATTGTGTGCTGAAGAATACTCTATTCTCAGAATTTTTTGTATCGCCTTGTTTTCTCTTTACTTTTGCTTCAAATAGGGACTGGGGCCATATAACCATCCCTGCATCTCATTGTTATGTCCTAAGCGTTGTCGCTGCATGTCACCAGTAGCTGCATCACAGTATACTATGGTTGTTCACTTATTGTTGGATTGAATCAAGGCTGGTTTTAATATCAATTTTTATAAATGAAATGTTGGTATATTTTTTTGCATCAATTCGTAACTTGGTGGGTCAATGGTTCACCATCCTTGGTATATATTATGATAAACTATGGTAAGCGGCAACGGTCAGTACTTTTTATATCAATTTAAATGAAAATTATTCAGCATTATAAAATAATTCTAGCACTACATACCCATGCCTGGGTGATGTTGCTGTTGTCCCATCTGTGGGTTATACTGTGATTGGGGTTGTTGTGTTGGGTGAATAGTTTGACCAGGCGGAGCGGTACTGGGTGCAGAACCATAGCCCCCTGTTAAATCATAAAATAATAGAAGTCATTTACCGTGTGCATGATATATTACAATATTTGGAATTCTAACCAGTCACAAATCTTTTTAGATTCGAAAAGTCCATGTATATTAAATTCAGAGACAAACATAGCTTTGTTATGTTTTTTGTTTCATTCTGTTACCCCACTAACTGCAGAATATTGCAGCCATGACCTTTTAGAAGAGATATGGAAATACAGGTACCTGCAAAAGGGGCATTTCCAATATTCATCTTAATTCATATTCAATTGAAATTTCATCTTTCTGAATATCCAAATAGTAGAAATCTGTTTACCAACCTTGAGCTGGATAAGAATAGTTCGGAGGTTGGATCTGTGGATTCTGCTGCATTGGTTGACCCTGCATCGGGACTTGTTGGGTCGGCATTTGTTGCTGCTGTTGTTGGGGCGGCTGCGGCATCTGTCCTACAGGTGGAGGTGCACCTGGGCCAATTCCCCCAAGTGATTGTTGTTCCATGACCTTTAATAATCAAGTAGATCTTGTCTGCTAGTAAAGGCTAAGCTAAAACCTGAAAAACAAAGAAAGGAAATTTGCATAATCACACAACTGAACAAATACTAGAACTGAACAAATACTAGATAGACTGAATACCTAATAAGTTACTGTTTCCGAGACAAATACAGTGTTTGTATTATTGCACCAAATGTCAAGACATCTCGGAAGCACAGAACTGTGCCCTACTGACTGTACTGAAACAGAAAAGGCCAAAACTGTATACTTTAAATGTGAAAGAGAAAATATGTTCCAAAATAGAGCAAGTTCAACAAAGAACACAATAAACAAAGAACCCTATGGACTTGGTATATCTGACAGTCTGAGGGTTAGGTCAGTGCTTTACCAACCATGAGACCATAGAGAAATTCCTTTCCCCGGGAAAGAATCTTGCTGTTTTAAGGAGGAAATATAGAAATATTATTTTGTATAAAAAATTCCTATAATAAAAACATTTGAGAAATTTTAGGTGACAGTAAAAGCCCTGATAAAACATATTTTACAGTTGGCAAATTCAAACAACAAACTGATTTTACATAGTGATAAAAAAAACAGATGAAAAAACATTATACAGGTGAAAAGAAATGAGGGTGCAAATATATACGAGGAAAAAACATTATACAGGTAAAAAGAAATGAGGGTGCAAATATATATGATGAAAAAACATTATACAGCCACAGGTAAAAAGAAATGGGTGCAAATATATTAGGAATGACCACAATTTATTTACAGGGAAATCATATTGTGAGACAAATTATGCTTTCATGATAAAACTGACAAATTTTACAGAAAACATAGTTATGTCAAAAATACAATTTCTCAAAATAAACATTATTCAAACACATAAATGTTGATGAAACAAAACTCATGGGTCATTCCGTGATACCTGTAAAACTTTTAGGAATTGTCTAAGCACATATAAACAATAGAAAACATTCTTGATACATATAAAAGTTCACAAAGTTACCACATAGTCTTATTATTGAAAATCTTATCTTAATTAAAATACAAATCCACTAGCTTGTCGGCAAGTTCAGTGATCACCTGAGTCTCCTGAGATCATGTTGAATATCAGGTAAGATTGAGGTTAACTGATCATTTGTGACATGATATTGATATATTTCTTTGATTGATTTCCTCTGAAATAATATTTTTTCAAGTCTGCAATTGGTAGATCATGATTGGGCTCAAATGATCAGACCAGTAAATGCAACTTAGATACCCTTGATGCGCACCACAGCACGCCAGTTCTTGACCATCAAAGTTTGTCTCTTTGCATGAAGATTGGCATCTTCAAAAATATCAACCAATCGAGATTCTGCTGCTTCCTGTAATGCCATTATCGCTAAAGATTGCCAAAAAATGATATTTGGAGTTAATTTCATGCTGATTTCACGTACCAGTCTTGAAAAAGGCAATTTTCTTATAAGTAACTTTGTGCTCTTTTGATATTTTCTAACTTCATGTGATGTGTTTATACCAGGTATTCCCCTTTTTCGTGGTGTAGACTTTCTTCGCATTGATCCATGGGATGCATTTTGACGGTTAGATTGATGCAAAGACTTTCTCGTCATGCTTGAGTATATTATTAAATAAAGCAGAAATAATGAACGTAGTAGGCTATATGTCAGTCAGGGATAGCCAATTAGAATAAAGTATTCAAATATCTCGTCATTCCAATATCGGAATTAACGTATATAAGAATATCGGATTTTTGCGTAATGTCACACATTTGCGACGTCTTCATTGAACGAGGACTTATCGATAGAAACTTGCGCATCGCACAAACAATCAGCACATGCTCACTCTCTTTGCAAAAATCTAGGTCATACATGTTCTTTCGCTTTGCAAAATTTTTTTTCTCTTCATTCTCCGTCTCGATTTTATTTTCGGTCCTCGCATGCTTTCTCACAACAATCCAGTGCAATATATATTATTTCATTCCCTTTCCCAATTCAACGCCGCCTGCATGCTTTTCACTGTGCATGAACACAGCAGAATAACAATATGGTACACATAAATACTAGAGGCTTAAATATTAGCATTTGTATAAAGGCATAATGAATATTCGATTGTTGTGGCTTGCTTCAATTGCCTGTAAAGTGGCTTACCCACTTTGCGACCACGACATATTTGCGGCCATCAACTTCATCGATCTAATTAATGCCGAAAAAATTAACGAATCGCGACGATATTTCTGACCCGTTATCGTCCTCTTGTTCCTCATAGCTCTGCGAAATTACACTGAAATGCGGCCACAAACAAAAAAGTTACGACCGAAAACCCGACCGAAGAAAAAAACAGGACCACTTTTTCATGTCGCCAACTACCCCTTGTCCCATCAAAAGAACTTGAAAATCCATACAAATATAAGAGATAAAAAGATGAAACTTGGCAAGGGGGTAGAGTTGTGTTCCTTCTAACCGTCTTTCGCCTTTCTACATTTAAAGGAAGGGGAATAGGGGGGTGCGCATTTCCAATACGTCGATAATATCTTTGTCGGCCAATTTGCGACCACCATGTTTTTGTCTGTTTGATTGCTGTGATGCGGTGTTTTGAATATAATTTGACGAGTTTTGTTCGAAAGGACAGTGTTCTTAAAATATATGACGATCAGAAATGCAATTAGAAGAAGGCTAGAAGCCCAATTTTCCATGCATGGCTGCGTATGCTCTAGTCTCGAGGCAGCAGAAACAATGTTCAAGGCTTGAAATTCGTGGTCGCACACTGGTCGTTCGGTCGCAAATACGTCTTCCGAGTGTCGTACTTTGGGTGGTTTGTATAGCTTTAACCCCTGGTCGTAGAAAGGTTATTCGAGGTTTAGCGTGTAGAATAAATGCCAATGCGCCTACGGTGAAAAAATTAACGGGTTAGAAATATTGGTTTCTGTTTTATAGCGGTTTGAATGAAATCGTCCGCAGACTGGCTACACCACCCTATTGCCCATGAATTTTATTACTCTCAGAAAATATACAAAATTATCCGAATATAAATAGTACTTATGTCAATAGACTATTATCGCAATACCATGTCCATGGGGATGGTACTGTAACATTGACAGAATCGGTCACAGAATTGCTTGGCTATCTTTTCATGTGGCCGATTGTACAAAGTGTACAATTAAAATAAATTTACTGTGTCACAAGTTGCTATTATTTCTATTGAAAGCTGTAAACTATTTACAGTATTAAGTATTTTTTGCATGGTGTGATAAATTTTTCTCTGTCCCAAGCAGAATGTCATCATAGATCATCTATCCATCGCTATATAATGACAATACATCCCATTTAATTAAACAATTATTTTTTGCCTGTAATAAATAGTTCAGCGCATTCCCCTTCACCCAATCATTGAAACATCTAGCGTCTAGCCTACTCGCAGTTTTATTTTTTGTTTTTCAGGTTACTTCAAAGTGATTAAATGAAGTAAAACACATAAGGAAAAAATCAAACAAAGACATCGATACGGTATCCTGTGAAATAACAATCTTATTCCTATATCCTTGTCTGAAATCAATACCCCAAGAATGAAAAACCTCACTTACTTTTTTTTTTTTGCCAAATTCAAATCCATTGCCAAATCGGATTTATACAAATTATAGTTTTGGTGTATTCAAATATATATTTCAATATTATTGCATGAGGTCCGAATTTTATTTTTGTGATGTAATTTAGGTGATTTCATACAATGAAAGGTAAGACAAATATTAAATAATTCAGACCAGATACATTTACCATTTAATTCCATATGTCAGTATGTCCATTTGTGCATGAAGTTGAGACATTATTTTCCCATTATCATCAGTTATAATATATAATATAAATATTAATTAACCTATCATTAGCATTTTTATTTAAAAAAAAAAAAAAATTTTGAAGAATTAGATAAATAATCAGAAAAACACCTATCATGCCATAGGTGATTTCTACATTTTCCATCTATGTAATCATTTTACACAAATTAGTAAATACGGTAATCTGTTACAATGAAATCTGTTACATATTGTCATGAGATGGCCAGTGGTTGCATTGGAAACTTGATATTATAGCATGATGGATTTATTTAAAACCTCATCAATGTGTTGATCTTGCATAATATCATTTCTGCATCCACTGTCCATCAAACCCATGCACCCCAATACCTTACATTTAAAAACTGCTCTCAAATTGCATTGCATCCCATAAATACCATCATATTTTATAGAGTTTCGATATTGCCAGATTGCTGACTTGCCACAAATCACAGTCAACAACACAGATTTGTTTTTAATGTTGTTGGCTATGATTTGGTCTGGATTAAGACGCCCTACATTGCACCAATCCCAAAATTCTGTGCCCAATCACAATTAAAAAACGGATGAAAACACGTTTCCTCTACATTATCGCATAATACACATATGCCTGATTCGTCTCTGAACCAATATTTTAGTTTATCTGCGGTAGGCAGTCCATTATGTATGATTTTCCAGCTGAGTTCTTTATACTTATTGGGTATTTGTATTTGCCAAAATTTTGTCCATGGGATAGGTTGGGTAAGATGTAGTTTGTTTGCGACATATATATTATGATCATGAATTTGGTTATCCAATTGGTTTGATTTTAAGCGCTTATAAATATTTTTGGTTGTTAATTCTTCTGAAACCATATAACGATCAATTTCTGTTCTTGCCGGGGATGTATTTTGATTCTGGGCTAGAATTTCTTTCCAATTTGTTGGAATGTATCGCCAAATGTTGCGAATTTCGAAGTTGCATTTTCTATTCAATGCAATTTTCCACTCATATGATATATCTCTACCTGGTCTATAGTAAATTTGATTCACAAGGTCTCCTGAATTTTGTTCCACAATTTGTCCTAAAGTTAAAACTTTGGCTTGAATCCATTTAATTTCGAATTCTAAATTTGGCAGTTTTGTCTCCAAAGATAAAAATGAATTAAACCAGAGGCTTTCTAATTTTACTTCCGCTGGGGAATTTGGTTGACAGCGTGTGAGATTGAGTTCCTTGAATGCATTAACTAAGTTTAAATAAAATTGTGGTATGAGATAGTTTCTTGTGTTTTTAACGTCTAAATACAAGCATTCCAAATTACCTCTGAAAATGAATGAGCAATAGTTATTTATATAAAATTTGGCCCGTTTACTCCAAGGTTTCTGTTCCCCTTTAAGTAATTTAATAATCCATTTCAATTGTATAGATTTCATCTTAGTGTTGATATCCATCATGTTTAATCCCCCCTTATTTATTTTTTCCTTAATGATTTTTTGAGCAATCAATTGTGGTTTTCCATTCCATAAAAAGTAGAAGAGTTTAGTTTGTAATTTTTTCATGAAACTTTCCGGCATAATTTTGAATCCTGCTAAATACCAATTTTTTGATAACATTAGTGCTTTTGTAACCGTAATTTTTCCTATTATAGAAAGATTTCGGGCCTTCCATTGATTTATCAAGCTCTGGACGCTATTAAGAACCTTATTCCAATTTTTTTCAATGGAACAAGTGTTATTCCCTATGTATGCCCCCAATATTTTAATTTCATCTTTTTTACTTCAATACCCTTGTAGTCTGGGCCAATGTTCCAATCAATTGCATTACCACACAATAAAATTTTACATTTCTGTTTGTTAATTTGTATTCCCGTACCCATTTTAAAGTGGTTTAATATTGCAAGACTTTCATCAATAGAGGCCAAATTTGTTACCGTTAAAGTTGTATCATCTGCATACCCTTTATACACCTCAGTATCCCCACTACAATTCCTAAATCCTAAAATATTTCTATTAGATTTGATATTAGTTGCTAATAGCTCAGCTATAAACAGATATAAATATGGTGCTAAGGGGCATCCTTGTCTCACTCCTCTTGTTAGCAAAAAATCTTCAGACAGGTATCCATTGGTAATAATTTTTGAACGAGTGTTACGATGCAGAATTTGAATCCATTTTTAAAAATATTCGCCGAAGCCCAATTTTCGTAAAAATCGTATTACTAATTCACGGTCGACCGTGTCATATGCTTTCTCTTGGTCGATAGAGAATATAATAAGAGGTATATTTTGTTGATTAGCCCAGAAGATGTCATCCCTAAGAGTTATCAAATTTTCATGAATCACCCCGCCAAAAATAAATCCAGTTTGATCTTGTCCAATTAGTTCCGGCAATACATTTTTTAATCTATTTGCTAATAATTTTTCTATGAGTTTATATTCAAAAT